GGTTTGGTTTTTGAACTCATCTTTGTTTGCTGTGTGTTCAGAAACCTTTGATTCTTTCCAGGGTCTTTATGACCTCCTGCCACTTAAGTGACCTCGTAGGAAGTCACACCCCACAGTTTGAAACCCATGATAAACTGCAGTCTTTCTTTAAATTATTTAAAAATCGTGGCTGCTGGTTAGTTACTATTTTTTTTTCTCATTTCTTTCAGGAAACACATGTTTCCTTTTCTTGCAATACATTCATATGGCACAACATGTAAGTGTTACAAAAAGATACAAAGTGGCAATCCTCCCACCCCGCCACCAGTTCTTTCTGGGTGGTAACCACTCCTCACCAGGTTCCGGAGTACTCTTAGATGGAGGATTGCTCACGGTCATTCCTCCTGCTTACTGTAGAGAGTTGGCACAGGGGGTCACCTGTCCGGAGCCTTGTTTTAATTTGCTTTCATTGTTATGAAATGGGCCACCTACTTGACCCGTAGAAGTGACACCCTCCTTCCAAAACCATCATAACAATGGGTGTGAGCTGTCATTGCTTGCGTGACCAGTCCCTTCCCAGCGTTCTGGTGGATGGGTCTGAATACATAGGATACCCTAGGCGTGTGTGAGAGAGCCGATATGCAGAACAAGTCCTCCATGTGGGACTTCTAGGCAAATGGCCTTCCTCGTATTTGGCCCCCTGACAATGCTCTGCTTATAGTGGAATTTATTTACCCTCAGGCAGCAATATGGAGGCAGCCCGAGCCTCCTCCTTCTCTTTGCTGAGGTGGGTGTTTATCCTTCATAATTGCTGCCAGCCTGACAGGCAAAATGGTGTCTCTTTGTAATTTTCTTAGGAATAAAGTCAGGAGCCTCTTTTCTAATTATCTGCCCGTTTGCTGTCTGATTCTGGTTTGCATAGAAGATACACTCTCTTCCTAGGGGAGGGGTAGCATTTTAAAAACTGCAGTCTGTATTTATCTGATTGATTTCAGAATGGATTGGATTACCAGGTATCATCAATAGAGAAGATTACACTTGAAACTGATTATTTCTACTCGAGATACTTTATACACGTTCATGTGACAGAATTCTCTGATTCTGAAAATGGATAGATAAAGTTCCCTGTCTCTGAAGGACATTTGCTATGTGGAATACTACGTACTGAGTAAAATGAATGAGAAAACCTACAGTCAGGGTCTCCAGGAATATCACTGAGCGGAGAAAAGCCAGTTGTAGAAATAATGGTATGCTTAAAAGCATAAGAAAAGATACCAGTGACCCCTCTCTCTCATTCTCTTCCTCCCTCCCTCCCCCACCGCTCCGTGTGTGTGTGTGTGTGTGTGTGTGTGTGTGTGTGTTTTGATCTATAAGTAAAGGTACCAGAAAAACAAGTACCAGCATCAATCACTGAAAACAACACAAGAAAATCACAAGAGAAAAACAACTCTTATTTGCAAAATTAAATAATACACTGAGCTGGGCAGTGTTGGTGCATGCATTTAATCCCAGCACTTGGGAGGCAGAGGCAGGCAGATCTCTTTGAGTTCAAGTCTGGTCAACAGAGTGAGGTTCAGGACAGGCTCCAAAGCTTTGGAGAAACCCTGACTTGAAAAGCCAAAATAATAATATTGATGATGATGATGATGATGATGATGATGATAATGATGAGAAACGTTGAAGCTTCAACAGGATAGCAGATAGATCCATTTCACTGTGAGCTGGGCTATGAAAAACGCCGGAGGTTAGCATTACCAGTGGCCTAGGAACTCTGGCATAGCAGCTGTGGTTTGAGGCATCTGCCCGTGTCTGACCCCAGCCTTGTCTTCTCAGATCCTGACAGGCGAAGACTGGAATGCGGTGATGTATGATGGCATCATGGCCTATGGAGGCCCATCCTCTTCCGGAATGATTGTCTGCATCTACTTCATCATCCTTTTCATCTGTGGCAACTGTATCCTTGGGAACTACTGGGAATGTGGGATCCCCAGCACTGCCTTGTTCTCTCTGAATTTTCTGGTGCTTGTGATGATGGGAGCAGCTTTAGGGGTTTGGAAGACAAGTGCCTTCCCCTTGTTAGCTACATGAGGCCTTTCTCTCCACACGGCTGATAGGAGCCATATAGTCTGAGTCACACAGGAACAGGTGCCGATACAGGTGCCGGTAGATAAAGGGTCTTGTGTCATGTCTCCACACAGGACAAGAAGGGAAGCCTGATGTTTGTTTATGTCACTGGGAGGTTACGGCTGCATCCATGTCACCCAGTGAGCAGTGAGAGCCCCCGATGGATTGATGAATTGTTGCAGTCTTTTTTTGTTTTGTTTCCATTTTTTTTTGGTTTTTCGAGACAACATTTTTCTGTAGCTTTGGAGCCTGTCCTGGAACTAGTTCTTGTAGACCAGGTTGGCCTCGAATTCACAGAGATCCGCCTGCCTCTGCCTCCCGAGTGCTGGAATTAAAAGCGTGTGTCACCACCACCTGGCTGGATTGTCATGGTCTTGCTTTGCTCAGTTGTCTTCTATAGCATGGCCTGCGACCATTCTCTGGCTTGTTGATTCCTCTTCCCTCCTGAGATGGATCCTAGACCTTAGCAATTGGCTGTTGGGTCACTTCATTTACCACCTCCACCAGCCCCTTCAGGGTCTTGGAAAGTTTGGTTGTTGTGTCTGTTTTCTCTCCAGCTTCCCCATGCCTAGCACAAACCCTACTATATGAAGAACCTACCTACCTGTGGCAAATAAGCATGTGTACAGACATGAGCACCCCATGTAATAAGCATGTATACAGATATGAGCACCCCATGTAATAAGCATGTGCACAGGCATGAGCACCCATGAAATAAGCGTGTGCACAGACATGAGCACCCATGAAATAAGGGTGTGTACAGACATGAGCACCCATGTAATAAGCATGTATACAGACATGAGTACCCCATGTAATAAGCATATTACAGACTCGAACACTTCATGTTCTCCACCCTTCTGATTTAAAAAGTCCTACTATGAATGAGTCCCTAGTGGTCCAGATCCCTGGAGTCCATCCATTTCCATGTTCTTTAACTCTCCACTGGACTTCCTTCAGGGTGGAGACCCTAGGGCCACCTGCCCTGCTGTCCTTAGGGGCAGTGTTTTATGCTATGAGATTCTCAGGAAAACCCTTTCTCTGCATGCCCACCACACCTCTTAGTTCTCTGGGCTCAGTTCTAGTGCCCTATCCTCCAGGGAGCTCCTCTGAATTCACCCCAGACTTGTCCATGCCTGTTGTTGGTGTGCAGAGTCCACTGTCCACTGAGCTTCGGTGGGCAGGCCTCCTCCTCCCAACCAGAGGACAGCTTCATGGGTCAGGAGTCTGCACAGAGGCCTGTGAGGACATGGATGGGTTTCCTCCAGGCTGATGATAGTCACCCTGGAGTCTCCCGTCACTGCTCTCTGGATCCATGTTGAAGCCCTTTGGAGTGTATGTCACTATACTCGGTCCTTAAAGGGCTGCCTATGTTGTCTGTCTCCACTGGAACAGATATGCTGCTGTATCATGTTAGCTCTCGTCCCCAGTGCCCAGCAGGGGCTGGCCTGCCCGAGGTGTTCTGCCTGTCTTTCTGAATGAATCCACAGCGCACCCCTGTTTAGGAAGTCTGGGCCGTGCCTCCGAATGCAGGTGATATAGTGATCCGGATTTGTGCTCCACTTCCCACAAGTTTAGTGTCGTTTCAAGGCCAGGAATGGGATTATCTCTTCAGGAGATCCATTTAGAGACATACTTGATACTCTTCCCAGGGCTGACCCTGTCTAAGCCACCATTGCAAAGCCTGTCTGAGGAGCTTCCGTGTTTCCCATGCTATCTCCAGCAGGTGCTTTTTCCCAAGTTTCAGCATGTTTCTGTCCTCTTGAAAGACTTAGGCATGGCACCCCTCATAGCAATCTTACCATTAGGTTCTTGTTAGCTTTCACTGATATATGTGTTCAGCAGCCCACCTGGAAGTTTCTAATACACAAGGCACCATGGGGCCCCAGTCTACTGCTCCTGTCTCCCCTATGCTCCGCTCCTGCTGTAGACTGAACATCAGGCTTAAGGAAGCAGCCACCCAGCACAAGACCTTCTCTTGGATGACCCCCAACTCCCTAGGCTCCTCAGTTCATAAACACTAGTGAATAAGAACGTAACTGCATCTTCTGACTCGAGGTTCTCATTAGAAAAACTTCTGTTTTTCTAAAAGCTCTACAAAACACAATCAGTTTTATAATTTCAAAACTTAAAAGCATATTTGCCTGATACATTACCATTTGCAAAATTATGTTCAACCCCGAGTCTAGCCACAGTGGGGCCTTCAGAACCCAGCCTAGCCACCCCTGGCCAGAGATCTAGCTTATCATCCACAGCGGGTATCCGCAGACTGAAGAGTGAAGGAACTGACCACAGGCTCTGGAGCCCACGTTAGAGGAGAAAGCCTCCTGCTATTTTGTGCAATGAGATTATTGCAATCACGTGAGGTCTTTGAAGGCCTCTGGTTTGTGAAGGAATCCCTTGAATATGTGTGTTACAATGTATGCTTTCAAAGAGAAGAAATCACGCTGTGCTCCACGAAGGTACAGCAGTATATAAGCAAGGAGACAGTAAAATGTGTGTTTCAGTGGGTCTCTGTGGATATCCAGGAGAACAGGTATCTGTGCTTTTCCCTTGTTTTTAAAGGTGGAATTTTACCAAGTTCTCCAGTAGTACTGAGTATCACACTAGGGTCAGTCACCGGCTCCCAGCCGCCACAAGCAGAGGAGTGTGACATTGCCGTTATCAACTGTTGCATTTAAAAACATGTTGTACCCTTAAGATTTTCAAATTAGATATCCTGCTGAACGTGTTCTTGGCCATTGCTGTAGACAATTTGGCTGACGCTGAAAGTTTGAACACTGCTCAGAAAGAGGAAGCTGAAGAAAAAGAAAGGAAAAAAATTGCCAGGTAATCCTGTTTTCACTGAGGCGTTTTGCCAGAGGTGCTAGGAGCGCCCAGCCGTGATGCAAAGGGTGCTAGGGACTCAGCCATGCTTCCCAAGAGCTGAGGTGATTATGGGTGACCATGTGGTACCAAGTGAAGAGAAGGGACTCTTGGGTAGAAGCCAGGCCCGTGACTCTTCTCCTCAGAGCGAAGAACAGAACTCACACATCTCTGCACTTAAAGAATCCCTGTAGTTAGTTTTGGTGTCGTGAATTAAATAATACATCCAGTGCTGATTAGCTCTCAGCCGAGGATTTTAATAAGATTTAATGGCTCCATTGCATTCGATGAACAGGAAACCCTGGGTTTGTGTTGCCCTACCATCTTGTTGTCAGTGTTTCCAGTTGAGGTCTGGTCCCTCATCCAGCACTATTGATTCAGAATCCTGGCTAGCCCTTCAGTACACAGCAGTGTGGTTATTTGGTTTCTTGTGTTCTTTTCTCTGTAGAAAAGAAAGCCTTGAAAACAAAAAGAACAACAAACCAGAAGTCAACCAGATAGCCAACAGTGACAACAAGGTATTTTTTTTCCAGAATAACTTCTATGTTTCAAAGTGATTCTGTACCACTTACACCGGGAAAGCATCTTTGAGTGGGACATTCTGCTATGGAAAATACAGCCTACAGTATAGGAACTGAGGTTTCTGATTGAGTTAGAGAAGGAGCTGATTTGCCAACATTATACTGTAGGATGTGGACATTCGAGCAGTTGGGTTACTTGTTTTGTTTTGAATTGCCACTACATGGTCAGATGTAACCCATGGTTATGATTCTGTTAGTGTCTTCTTAGTGGAGGATACAGTCAGGGTTTTTGTAGATGACTGGGTTCTCAGACATGACTGTGGAGTCCAGGTGTGCTGAGAGGCTTGAAGGCTGCACTATCAGCTTCCTCACACTGACGGCAGCGCTGGACATTTCTGTGATGTGTTTGTTCATCGAATTGATAAATCCAGAGTAGAGAGTTTCATATCAAACACTAGACTACCTCCATATAGTTCACAGTCTAATTGAGAGACAGGAATCTAAATATGGTTCTCACACGGTATATGTGCCTGCACTGGCATGCACAGACACTGCCCACTGACTGGGACCTGAGCGGTGGCCTATCTCTTTCCTGCTCTTGGGCCTTTTGACTGAAGCAGAATCTCCAACTGCTATCTCTGCACATGTACACGTGCATGTGAGCACACACACACTCACACACTCACACTTATGCATAAGAACCCTCATACTGCCAAATGGTAGACCGGCCCTCTGACTTTGGCCCTTTGAAGCACATTAAGTCAGCATTCCCTCTCCTGTCTTAGGTTACAATTGATGATTATCAGGAGGAGACTGAAGATAAGGACCCTTACCCACCCTGTGATGTGCCAGGTATGTGGGGCAGAGAGGCCCAGAAGTTTGGAGATAGGGGACGAGGAGTCCACACTGGGCTGCCGAGGCCACCAAGGCCATGGGTCTCATTGTCTTAGAGAGCAGTTTAGCTCTGTTTGTCCCCGAAGTCACGGGGAGCACAGACGGACTTAAACCCCAGGTTGCGGAAGAGGAGGAGGGGCAGGTAGGCACAGCTCTTGCTGGAGAAGTGGTTGTTGGGTGTCAAAGCCTGAAGGTAAGCAATGCCTGTGACTGGAAATCCACAGATTTTTCCAGCTAACACTGAGCAAGGGGGTGGTGGGGAACCAGACAGATGTTGGAAGGATGGCAGGGAGGCTCTCGCCTGTGCCTGTGGTCATGCTGTGCCCTGGAGGATGCCTCCTTCCCATGTCTCATAACTCAGTGCACTAGGCGTGATGGGTATTTACCCCCTGCTCATGTGGCCCATTCTCTGAAGGAAAGGGAAGGTTTCAGTTGCTGGAAACCGTAGATGTTGTTAACGTGTAAGCCATGTTTTAATGTGAAGTTGAGAACAATAGTTCAGACCCATATATAATCTTTCACACCTATTAAAAAAACATTCCATTTAAAGTAGGTGAAGAGGAAGAGGAGGAAGAGGAGGATGAGCCTGAGGTTCCTGCTGGTCCTCGTCCTCGCAGAATCTCAGAGTTGAACATGAAGGAGAAGATTGCACCCATCCCCGAAGGAAGTGCTTTCTTCATTCTTAGCAAGACCAACCCGTAAATACTTTCTTCCTAATCCCGTTGCTGCCCCCTCTCTACAGTGACTCTTGAGGGTAGTGGGGAGGATGGAGTAAAGAAAAGTGGTTCACCGCCCTGCTCCGATCCTGAGTGTTCCTGGGCACCACAAGTTCCCGGCAACCCCTCCTCTTTTCTTTGCCTTAGACATGCATTTAACCTGAGGAAGTGTCCTGTTCCTGTGGGGGTATGACAGAGTCCTGGAAGGAGCCTGCTCTAGAATCCCTACCCCCACCTCCCTGCCTGGGAAGATCCATAGGGCAGTGTCTAGCTCAGTAAGGTGTTATGATGGGTATCTGATCCTGATGTGTACACTGGCCACCTCTGGAACCCTTTCTTAACTAGTGGATCTTGTCTTTTTTTTTTTTTTCTTTGAGACAGGCTCTGTAGCTCTGTAGCTTTGGAGCTTGCCCTGGAACTAGCTCTTGTAGACCAGGCTGGCCTCAAACTCACAGAGATCCGCCTGCCTCTACCTCCCGAGTGGGATTAAAGGTGTGTGCCACCACCGCCCGACTGGATCTTGTCTTAATATGCTTGGTGGAATACGAATTTGCTCTGCAGGTTCTACACAGCATCTTCATGTTCAGATCCTTCTAGGTGATTTTTCCCCTTGTTGAGTTTTATGGTGTTGCTCGCAATGTTTTGTAGGCTGTACACGTTTGACTCAGCGCCACGAAGATGCTTAAAATAGCATTTCTCATATTAAAATGATAAGGTGCTCACCAGGAACATGGGGATGACTCATAGACCGGGAGAGGAAGAAGTCTTGTTTACTAGCTGGTTTCTAGGTTTAAATCGTCTGGGGTTAAGTGGGCTGCCAGGGGAATAGGTAGCTCCTGGGAGGGGTTCTAGAAGAATGGCAGAAGCAGTGCTTGGCTGTCAGGAAGGAACACTGTGTGATTGACAGGCCCTGCAGAGACTCAGGTGGGACGCAAGGCAGGCTCAAGTCCTGAAAACGTTGACAGTTTCATGATCTTTACAAAACTAATTTGTTGCTATTGTGTGTGAATGGCGGGAGGGCACATGTGCCACCGTGTGTAGAGTTGGAGGACAGCTTTACTGATGTGGTTTTCTCTCCGCTTTGTGTTGGTTCTGGAGTTGAACTCAGGCTGTCAGACTCGTATGCAAATTCTTCACCTGCGCAGTTATCTGGCCCACCCTGATGACCTCTGTACAGCTCCTCACTGAGCATCCTTTAAAAAGAAATCAACAGAAAAGACTGGCACTGTTGGTGATGCCTGTAGTTCATAGCGCGCGTGCGTGTGTGTGTGTGTGTGTGTGTGTGTGTGTGTGTGTGTGTGTGTGTAAGGAACGGGTTCATTTTCCTAGAAGTCAAGAGGACCCCTGTCCCCATTGTCTCAGAACGTCTTCTCCAGGCCCAGCTACTACAGTGTGCAAACCTTCCAGGAAGTGCCGAGTAACCCAAGATGGGGGGGATTTGAAATGAGGGGTCACCATCATATAAAGGTGACTCAGTTTTGACAATTAAAAGTTATTTTTCCCAAGGTAAAAGTAACTCTTTAGATCTGAATATTGAGAGTAGGATGCTTTGACCAGCTCCATGGCACCGCAGGGGAACAGGAAAGATTCTGATGGGCCCCACGAGCCATCATGAAAGACCTGGGTCTGGGTTGAGAGACCCAGCTGCCCTGCTTGCTTCTCAGGGTTGCAGGATTCAGTGATAAATCCATCACAGCATGCAACGAGAGCCTTGCATGTGAACAGGCAATACAGCACTCTGCTTCACCGTCTAAGGAGTACCTGTGGGTCGGTACTGAATTAGAAATATGACATTGATGGGCAAGAGAGAGGGCTCAGTGGGTAAAGGTGCTTGCCGCCAATCCTGAGGACCTGAGTTTGATCCGTTCATATCCATATGAAAGGAGAGAACTGACTCCCCAAAATTGCCTTTTGAATTCCACATGCATACTATGGGATCTGTGCCCCACACACACACACATGAAGAAGGGAGAGGTGAGAAAAGAGTGAGAATAGACAGAAGTAATAAAGTATTCTAAAAATAGGACATTTAGTAGAAATAAATTTCCAGACAGCAAGAGACTTCAACTCACTCTTGTTGCAGGTCATATTTGCAAGACAATTCCTTTGTGGATAAAGAAAGGAATGTGTCCTAGTCTTTGTGTTAAAATAAAAACTTGGGGCCAGTTAAATTCGACAGTTTAGTGGAGCAGCCATCAGGCAGAAGCCATCCCATGACCTGTGTCCTGCAGTGTGGCGATGTCATCATGGACAGACTCCGAGGTGAAGGAGCGTCCCCTTGTCTGGCCACAGCACTGCCTGGGCCGTACTTGAGCATAGGCTGTTCGCTTGGCAGCCCATGACTGGCCGAGACTTGGAGTCTCTTGCAGGAATGTCTTCCTATGCTAGGGCCTCCAGTTAGTTTGCAACTAAGTTGGGTTGTAGTTTGTTGTGTAGTTCACTCAAGGAACTTAATTTGGCCCAGTCTTCTTTCATAAGTCAGCCTTTATGCTGTGGTAGAAAACAATGGGTGGTAGAAATGCCTGGATGTGAAATCTACCTTGGTCCTTACTAGCTTCATTACCTTAACATATCCTTCATATCTATAAACCTCAGTTTTCTCATATTTGTATGTGTATGATTGCTTTGCTTGCATATATGTCTGCGTGTCACATGTATGCAGTGCCCACAGAGGCCAGAAGAGGGCATTGGAGAGGTTGTGAGCCCCCATGTAGGTGCTGGTAACTGAACCCAGGTCCTCTGGAAGAGCAGCCAGTGCTTTTGACCGCCGAGCCATCCCTCTGTCCCCAGTCCCACCTTTCATCTTTGGGAGGACAGTAACCCCATGTGTAAGGATTTGATGAAATGGTCTCTGTGGAACTCCCAGTCCCAAACTGCTCACACCACAGGCTAGCTGTAGGCTTTGTGGGACTAGTGGTGGGCGATAGTGTTCTTCCTGGGTGGAAAACAAGAGCATTCTAGCCTTTGGCCAGCCCCCTCCTGGTTCTCCTCCAAGAAGCCCCCAAGCCTGAAGGAGCCCTGCAGGCACAGGCCTGCATCCATGCGGTGCTTTTCTCAACAGGATCCGTGTGGGCTGCCACAAGCTCATTAACCACCACATCTTCACCAACCTTATCCTGGTCTTCATCATGCTGAGCAGCGCCGCCCTTGCTGCCGAGGATCCCATCCGCAGCCACTCATTCCGGAATACAGTAAGCCTCTGAGAGAGATGTGGGTAGGACTGCCCTGGGGGTCAGCTCCAGCCTGTTTGTGTCAGGGGCCATCCTGGATGGGGCCCAAGCACGGGAGCCTGGGGATAGGGCTTCTCAGTACATGTGCTGATTGCTTGCTTTCTCTGGACGATGCTGGTGGAGATGCTGACTTACTTAGAAGCCTCTGCTGACTGTCAGTGTCTTCAGGGACCTCTTTGTTCCTTTTTCCTTACACTGGGGTTTCCCTTTCCCCACCAGAGGAACAGTGATGACTCCTTATAGGTTTAGGTCTAAGGGGAGAAGGTGAACTTGAGTCCCAGAATGCCATAGGTCGGGGATCTCTGCTCTCGGGCTAGTGAAAAGAATTCCTTCTCTCGGGTATTTACATGAGGTCTCTCAGCTACTCTGCTGTGAGAAGTATGGGACAGGAGATGAGGGCAGCTTGAAGGGGTCAACAGGCAGTGGTTAAATTTTCAATTCTTCACCCAGTGTTGTAGCTTACAGATGGGGCCACTGGTGCATCCATGTTAGAGCATACATGTTTCTAAATTAGTGTTTGCTTCAGCCTCTCTTTCTTAGCGGTTTATATAACTCAGCCCTGAAGAAACTTCAAAGACATGTTCAGACAGCTGTGGGCCTGTCCGGTGACCGCCAGGGCGCTGCCCAGGAGAGGCAGCAGGAGCTCAAGGCTGTTACACCTGCCTGTCTCCTCTGCACATCAGCTCAAGAGAGATTTTAGGATTAAGACACATTGACCAATCAGTGTCCCCGACTTTACCTCGATAATCACACCCTCATACTGTAGCTCCCGCTTTCCAGTTCCTGTCAGGTGACAAAGACTAGGACTTTCCCCTGAGGCTCAGGAGGAAGGAGTCTGTGTCAAGATGAAGGCACTGAGTCCGCCTCAGTCCACCCTGACAGACATGGCTTTGATTTAGAGATTCTGAAGGCTAGCTTCGTTATGCATTCCAATGGAGGGAGCACCCCTCTGTCGTGTCATTTTCATCAGGAAAATGAAGCATGAGGCAGAAAATGTGTCTGGAGACAAATCATGTTATCATAGGTCAGGAGCCAGTCCAGGCTAAGTGCCCACGAGGAATGGTTTATGTTTCTTCTTATCATAGTCTTTTTCCCGTGTGTGTGTGTGTGTGTGTGTGTGTGTGTGTGTGTGCTGTTCCATCACCGCAGTGTTTCATTTGAACAGTAGCTGAGTTTTTAGTGGCGAGGGAAATAGAGGCTGCGTGAAGAAAGTACTTCAGCCTAAGACCTTGGATTCGCCTTGGGTGTCACAGCAGTGTGACGGCAGGTACTTTTCAGTGACGGAGGAGGGGATGAGGGACAGGTGGTTGGGGTCTGATGATCAGCTTGACACAGAATTCTTCAAGCGATGTCTCGGAGTCCAGAAATGGACTCCCCGACTTCCGTAGAAGACAGGCACAGGTCCCTCTTCTGTGGAGGAGAGGCAGTGTGTGCTCCAATGGTGGCTCCAACAGAGGAGACATAATGAAAAGAGTGAACCTAAATGATCTCTCCAGTCCTCCCAACACTGATATCTTCAGTTCTTAAAGCTGTTGATGGACTGGCGAGATAGAGCAGCAGGTGAAGGCGCTGGCCACCATGCCTGACCACCTGAGCTAAGTCCCTGGGACTCACAGTCAGAGGAGAAAAGTGATAGCTAAAAGTTGTCCTCTGACCTCCGTGGGTGGATGGATGGATGGATGGATGGATGGATGGATGGATGGATGGATATAGACAGATGGACAGACATGCAATAAAGCCATTTCCATGAGATCAGCACATGATGCAGGTTTGTGTAGTGGCAGCCTTAACTGTCATCTTTCTAGTTGGGAGTCATAGTGTCAGCAACACACCAAGTAACTCTGTTGGAGCGGTCAGAACCGCCTCTGAACCTTAAAGAATCAGGAGCTCACAAGACTCATAGATACTAGGTGGGATTCAGGGATGCTGGTAGAGAGGCCTATACTAAACATTGAAACTCAAGGTCAGTCTATTCTTCCTATGAGCCCAGAAAGGCAAGGACCAGTCTTAGGAGAAAGCAGCATTGGATATGGAGTGTGGCAGGAGGAAGGCACTGAATACAAACCATGCCTCACAAACTGAACCATTCTGGCGTATGAGGGTGGGGTGGGCAGATCACATGATAATTAAATCGTCCTGGGCCCACAGGGACACATGAAACTTTTTGACTCGATTTTATGCCATTAGTATCTTTTTTATTTATATTTTGAATATTTAAAATGTTAATCTTTATGGTGCAGGGAACAGATCCCAGGCCTCACTGTCAGGTAGCAAGAGCATCTCACACAAGTCTACACCCTCAGCCACACCAGCCTTTCTCCACTAATCTGAAGCACAGCTAGATGGCAGCCTCTTTCACTCAGCCACATTCACAGCCGCGACTTGTGTAGGATTCTCATTTATCAGGGGCTGTGAGTACTAGTAGTTCACCCAGCGGGAAGGCTATTAACACAGGACTTTGAGAAATTGGCCCCTGTGGGCCAGAATAGGAGAATCCAGTCAGCCTGAGCAGGTAAAGGAGGTGAGACCCCAACATTCCCTGGCGGTCACAAAGAGGAGCCACATATGGGTGAAGTGGGCCCTTCGTGTATCTCAGCGCTCCTGAGGATGGTCCTGCCTGGGAGAAGGGTCTCTGGCCACAAGTTGGGGGTTCTGCCCATGGGCGGGGGTCTGCCGCAGCTTACCGGGGTGCCTTGTTCTGATTGCCACGTGTTGTGCCTTGCAGATACTGGGTTACTTTGACTATGCTTTTACAGCCATCTTTACGGTTGAAATCCTGTTAAAGGTAACGCATTTCCCTTGACCCCCTCCGCTACTGCAGCCGCAGCAGTAACGGTTGCGCTCTCCGCTTCCCTTCCAGGTGCTAGGCTACGCAGACTATGTCTTCACTGGTACTTTTGCATTTGAGATCATTTTGAAGGTAACGGGCCAGCCAGCTGTGTGATGCGGCCCGCTCCTGTGGAAGGCACAGGAGAGATGCGTGAAGTGCTTTCAACTTTTTTTTTTGCTCTTCTGTGGTGAAGCTCAACTTTTTTTTTAACTACTGGATATTTTTCCTGTGACCATACCAATGTGTTTTTGCAGTTTTTCTTTTAGCTTTGAGTGCATGCAGGAGCTACTTTGGCTTCACATTTCTAGTTGGAATTATATTTTTGTTCCTTTAAAAAAAAGTCCTCTGAAATTTGTTCACTACTAATGGACATAGGGCTCTGTGTGAACTTCCCTTTCCCCTTCCTGGCATCAGGTAAGAGGAAACGCACTAGTGCTATGACAGGAACCACCCTCTCCTTGCTCCCGGGACTGCAGTGTGGTCCCTGTGTTCTTGAATAGGAGCACACTATTTGCTTGCAACAGCTCTTGCAAGATAAGTTGGGTCTACTTGTGTGGAGATGTCCTGCATCTGTTTCAGTGGGATGGGCCTACATCTGCACAAATCAACGGTGTATCTGAATGTACTGCCCATGCATGCCCTAACAGGTGACATCAGTGTGTGTCCTCTGTCCCGACTGTGAGCACCCCAGGGGGAAGTTCCTTCCTAGATAATCAGAGGTCTGGAGGCACAGCTAAGAGCCTCCAGGAGTTGGGCTTTCTGATTTGATTGTTACAGCCAACTCCTCGTGGGAAGAAGCTGAGAAATGAATTTTTAACATAGTTGTCTTTAAAGTATTTGGAAGTTTCTGTGTGTGCATCTTTAAAAACATGTACTTTGTGTTGGGCTATTGGGGATGCGGGCTCCTCACAAAATCTTCTGCTGAGGAAACCTCAGTCAATGTGGGCAGGGAGCATCCCCTGTGTCACTGATGATGAGTTCAGAACCACCCACCCCAAATATGTTCAGCTCTGTTTCAAATCTTAGAGAACTTGAAGTTTTCTTACCTGCAGGTAAGCCAGTATTTTCAGTTTTAGTCCTCCCTTCATCATGGTGGAACAGTGGCCAAGGTTTACAGCCCTGCTGTAAGGTCTGTGGTGCAGAACACACAGGACCCCACCCCAGGTCCTTGTTTTTGCCTTTCGCTGCCTCTCCCTTAGGCTGAATGAAGAAGCCTTGTTCCACTGGTGACTTGAGGCTCTGTTTACCGTCTGCCTTTCTGAGTTGTCGGATGAACACTCAGTCATGGGCTTTGGGCCAGATGCAATCCTGGGTTAACACTGTATCTTCCCATCTGGAGAACCTGCCCCTTGAGTTCTTCCTGTTGCCAGCAGAAACCGCACTAGTGCGCCCACGCTGTGTGCTCGCTGCTTAATGTGCAAACGTACCTGGCGCTTAGTTGTAGCATCCTCCAGCCACCTCCTTGCTACGCCTGAGTCTCTCGTCTTGGGAGAGACGGGAACTGGAAAATCATTACAACTGGAGCAACTAAGTTAAGGGGGAAAGGACCCCAGGAGCGCAGGAGCCGGGTGCCGCCTCCAGCTCCCGCTGAGAGAGTTTAATGAAGACAGTATGTGCTCCGTGACCTTAGAGAGGCTAGGCCAGTCCTGGATAGGTAAACTCAGCTTGGCATTCTCACCGACATAGCCACATGCAGTCTGCCCTAGGCAGGCTCTTTGCACGTGCCAGAGCTGCGTTCTTACTTGAATTCTCTCACTAGACGGCTACCCCTGTCCGTTTTTTTATAGCTCACTTTGAAGTAGGTCTCACAGTCACTCAGTCCTATTGTGTTTGTCTTCCTTGTGGGCAGTCATTAACAGAGTTGTGCTCCTGTCAAGATTTTGTGAAGAGCCCAGGTTTTTTGTTTAATAGTTTTGGACCCTGGAGGGGAGGAGGAGGAAGTAAATGGCGCCTGATTCTGTTTACAGATGACAACTTTTGGAGCTTTCTTACATAAAGGGGCTTTCTGCAGGAACTACTTCAATCTGCTGGACATGCTGGTTGTTGGAGTGTCACTGGTGTCATTTGGGATTCAGTAAGTATTCAGAAGGAATTGGACATACGGAACTTGAACCTAATTCATTCAAGCTGGGTGCCCCATGTCGAACAGCGCTGGGGCCATTCAATGCTTTCCTAGTTCTGTCTTTTTGTTTGTCTGTTTGTCTTGTACCTACTGCTAGGTTGAGTTTATTGTTTCTGTGAAACTGGCTTTCATCAGCAGATGAAAAACATCGTGACTAGGAGAGAGCAAACTGGGTTCTCCTCGGGCTTGGTCCGAGACTCAGGGTCTCCTCTCTGGGTGGCAGTTTTCTTTCAGTGCAAGAGCTTGGCCTTGGTGAGCTCTGGGGACCCGTTCCGTTCCACTTCCTGTGCTTGCAGGATACAGAGCTGCTACAACCTTTGGGGGCAGTCAAGAGTTTCTGGTGGGGCTGAGCACGGCCTTTTTACCCTATGCAGTCCCTGGGGCAATCCACCATGGTTGCAGCTTCTGCGACCTTACTTAAGCCTCCTGCTGGCCTTTGAGCAATCTCTGCTCTGGCCCTGCCTGCTAGTACCCAGTGTGAGCACACATGTACGTAATAAGTCCCATAGCGAACGGGAACTGGAGAGGACTATACACTAGGCACAGTGAACGCGCTGATCTCGACCACTCTGTGGGAAGAAGGACCCTTTATTTGAGCATCAATGGCCGGGCTGCCTCTGGGGTGGGGCAGAGAACAGTGACTGGAAGGAAGAGCCTTGTCAGTTTTATGAGACTAGGTAGCGGCAGGAGAAGGGGTGTCGGCCAGAACGGCCTGAGAATTAGCCGGTGGACCTTGGCCTGCTGCAGGCTGTTTGGGTTAATCAGGAACCCTTTGCACGAGGTAGTTGACCATTGGGGCAGATAAGGGAAGTAATGGCTTTTCTTGACAAATAGAAACCCAACTTCTGAGGAATACTAGGTTTAGGTTATGTTTCCTAAGTTAACCTAAGTTTAGTCAACTTAGTTAAGTTTCCTTCTGCTTATCCGGTCAGCGTCCAGTGTGAGCTGAGCCCAGGCTGTCGTTGGGGACATTGTCAGCCGCACTGCTATTTAGGGGCCCGCTTTGGCCCTAACAAGAACCAAGGATTCCGGCCTAGAACGGCCATCCTTGTTGTCGCTGCAGCTGCTGCTGCCTGGGGAAGAAGTTCCGGATTCATTTCCCAGTCGAAACTTCGAGCTAATCCTTCCACAGTTCTTGTCAACACTCAGGCTGTCCCTGCTCTTCCCTCTTTTCCTCGCGCACACTTCCTCCCAAGCCGGTGCTGCAGCCACACCCAACTGATTAACTCAAACAGCCTGCAACAGATCAAAGCCCTCATGCCAACTCTCAGGCTGTCTGGGCCTCACCACGACCTGTTGTTCCCTTCTTGCTAACTCTCAGGCTGTCTGGGCCTCACCATGACCTGTTCCCCTCTTGCTAACTCTCAGGCTGTCTGGGCCTCACCATGACCTGTTCCCCTCTTGCTAACTCTCAGGCTGTCTGGGCCTCACCACGACCTGTTCCCCTCTTGCTAACTCTCAGGCTGTCTGGGCCTCACCACGACCTGTTCCCCTCTTGCTAACTCTCAGGCTGTCTGGGCCTCACCATGACCTGTTCCCATACAACTGATGAGGCCTTCCCAGCTGCCCCTAAGGTCTTGTCCTCCTTCCCTTGCTTGGAGGAGAACACTGTTTACCCACCCCCACGCATGCTCCGGGATATGTGTTGCTTAGGGGGTGCTGCCCATCTCGCCTACCAGATTTAACGCCCTAGCATAGGTCCCCAAACTTAAACACTGAAATCTAAATGTCAGGAGACTAGTGTTTACATCGAAATAATGAGGTCAGTTCATAAATGCCTCTGTGAAGGCAAGCTGTGTGTCTGATGTGGGGCCACTGTTGGGGCCCCTGAGCTCCCTCAGGAGCAGGAGGCAGGAGGCCTGCTTGGTGGCAGAAAGGAGCGGGACCTACTGAAGTACTGAGACCAACTCAACTCCACATGGTTATGTAATGTCATTAAAAATGATGGTCACATGATGTCACTGATGTCCTGGCTCCCACCCAGCCCTGCGACATGCCGTTTGCTTTCTTACCATTACCTCTGTCCTCCCTCAGATCCAGCGCCATCTCCGTTGTGAAGATTCTCAGGGTCCTGAGGGTCTTGAGGCCCCTCAGAGCAATCAACAGAGCGAAAGGACTTAAGGTATTGACCCCTCTCTTGAGTGAGGCTAGCTTGGGTTGGGGATGCCTGCAGTTACTGACTGTTCTAGTCTGGAGATGAGCAGAGGCTCCAAGTGGGACCTTTCCACCAAAAAAGCTACCTCTGCCTAGGGCTGTCATTGTGAAAATGAAGTGTGGCTCAGCAGGTAGGAGCACTTGCTGCACAAGCACTAGGACCTGAGTTCAAATCCCCAGATCTATTAAAAAGCCATGCATGCTCTCACACTCTCGTAACCCCAGTGCTGAGACAGCAAGGGGCTTCCTGGCGGCTGTCATAGCTCTGAGTTCCGTGAAAGACCCCGTCTCAAGAATGTTAAGTAGAGGCTGATACAGCAGGACATACAATGTCCTTTTCTTCTGCCTTACATGAACAGGCATGTACATGCCCCCAAGTATACACAGCAAAATTACTTTCATTTCATTAATGGGAGATATTGGTCATTGTAATTACAATAATTGTTACTCCTTTATCAATAGCATTTATCTCTTCATGTTTAAGTTGTACATCATTCTCCTGTGGGTTATACAGCAGGCTAAAGGGTTGACACCTCTGTGAGGTCTTTCTGGGATAGGCTTCTTGTGTATCTACATGCAGGTGCTGTTTCTTTCAGTTAAACCAACGTCTTTGGAGGAAACCCAAGAAAAGGCACATAAAAAGTGTGCTTGGACCAGGGAATGGATCAGTGGGTTAAGGCGCTAAGCCTGATGCCCAAGTTCAGTTCCTGGAACTGAACAAGGAGAGAACCAGCTCATACATGTTGTCCTCCACATATACACATGCATGTACATATATATAATAACTAAATGTAATAAAAATTTAATAAAAATAAAAGCACATATTGTACTGACTACAATACTCATCAGTGGGCAGCCAGGAAAACCAAGCATAAGGTTAGCTTGGTTAGATAAGCAGTTAGATATTCATTAGATATTCATATCGGGAGGCACCCAAGCATAGAAGCCGCCTGGTGTTGACTTATGACTAAAAGAGGAAGGAGGGGTAGCAGCCTTCCGTACTCTCTCTGTTCTCTCCCCAGCACGTTGTCCAGTGTGTCTTTGTGGCCATCAGGACCATCGGTAACATCATGATTGTCACCACCTTGCTCCAATTCATGTTTGCATGCATTGGGGTCCAGCTGTTCAAGGTAGGGGGACCCTTCACCTGGGGCTGGGATTGGTTTCTATAAGAAGAGCCCCCCGTTGACTCTCCATCTGCTTTGTATTTAGGGGAAATTCTACCGCTGCACAGACGAGGCCAAAAGTAACCCGGAAGAATGCAGGTGGGTATCCTGAGGGCAGGCTGGGGAAGCTGGAGGAGGAAATAGAGTCACTCATGTTAGCGCTTCAGGGGTTTGGCTCAGGGAACGAGCGGCCTGCCCACTCTGCCCATGCCTGCAAGGATGGGGATCTTTTACTTTATTTCTGTTCCCAAGTCGTGGCGCAATTCAAGTGAAGTGAAATTATAGTGTAGTCGCATTTGAGAGCCAGTACCTCTCTTAAGGTTTAAAACATTTTTATCACCCCCCAAAATGAGCAGATGGCTCTAGCTGCTTAGTATAGATCTTATAAACTGGGGGAAGAAATCCTGAAATAGCAGTGACCAAGGGTCACCAGTGTCTTCCCTGCTATCTGAGTGGACTTTGAATGGTGTTCTCCCAAGCCAGACTTGCAGCTCGGCTCCCCAGTGTTCAGGAGTGGGCTACCCTGTTCTACAAGGCTTGGAAGACTTCTTTGCTCCTGTTCCTGTTGCCCACATGTTGGACATATTTCTGTTCACAATGGCCAGCAATGGAGAAACAGCAAGAAATGTTCACACCTTATACTCTAAGATGTTCAGTAAATATAGAATATTCTCAATCCATGCATACACTGCCCAGAGCTTAAGACTACAGAAAATCTGTGTCCCTGACCTTGAGTTACAGCTGACTGGGGTCCAGATGTTGCCCTGTATGCATTGGTTCGGGTTTCCTAGAACAAATGATGTGACCATGGGGCATCAGATATAATCTTCCTATGACAACATATGCCTCCAGAGATGCTATTGGCCTGGACTGAGGGATGCAGAGCACCACCCCCTCACCAAGCTGATCAGTGCAGCCACAGTGTCGTGTCATGGGCCCCTCCCCCAGCTGCCTGTTGCTGTGAAATAACAGCAGGAGGCTTTACCTTGTGGGTTCCTCTCACGAGCACAATTCTGTAAGAAGTGGCGTGTGACATTGATTGAAGAATTCTTTTGGAAAGAAGATTGAGGATTTCAATGGTATGAGAGGAATGAAATTTATTGAAACTAAAATGTGTATAAACATATACATTGGCTTGCTTCTCGATACTTTGTGGCCAAAGTATTGGTTCATCTACACGTATTTCTAGACTCTCTTATGTGAGAAATATTGACTGTTGGGTCATGTCTGACTGCTAACAGGTGCACCCTGGATCTCTAGTCACTCCTGCCCCGGAGAGTGCACTTTCCCCTAGTCGTTACCAGCAAGTTACTTGAAGTTACCAGCGAGTTACTTGAAGTATAGAGCAGACTAAATGTGGAGGAGCAAAGGAGAAACTCCATCTGGGCTGTGCTCGGATGTGTGGCCTGGCTGGGGCTGCATGCAATGTTCTGACCCAATGCTGTCATATGTGAAGCTAAGGCCACTCCAACTCCTTTCTTCTCTAGGGGGCTTTTCATTCTTTATAAGGATGGGGATGTCGACAGTCCCGTGGTCCGTGAGAGGATCTGGCAGAACAGTGATTTCAATTTTGATAATGTCCTTTCGGCCATGATGGCACTCTTCACAGTCTCGACTTTCGAGGGCTGGCCTGCGTAAGTACAAAGGATATCCAGTCTCCCCACGAGGCCCCTGATTGCTCCTTGGGGACTCTGGGCTGTCATCTTTCCATAAGAGGGGTTCTACTTTTGCTCATCACAGCTAGCAAGCTTATCTGTGACTAGCTTTGGGCAACTTGGCATCATTGCTTGCTCATCGTGGCTTCTCCATCTGAACAGGCAGGCATCTCTGGGTGTGGTTAAGGGGGTCCGGAGAGGCGTTTGCTGTATAAACTGCTGTTGGCAGATGCCCTTCTTCGAGAGTGTTCTTCGAGAGTATCTGACAGCATCCCAGCTGTCACTCACTCACTCACTGTGATACATCATGGACACTAAGGTGTGCCAGGCATGGAGCGTGCCACCATGCCATTTCTTTCATGAAGGTGTTTAAAACACTCATTCTTAAATTATGCCTTCGATATCAACTCCATGCAACATGCTGCCTTAGGCAACGTGGAGGAAATCACATGACCATGGCACTGTTCCTCCCTCAGAGCCTAGAGTTAATAGCAATGTCACATAATCATACCTAGTATGGAATAGGGTCCGGATGAATGGTTGGGGTCTGGGCGAGTTAATACACCAGCACCTAAAGAAGGAAGAAAATAAAAGGCAGAAGGGGATCTCTGGCACTCTGTTGGCTCCCTTCAGATGTGCCATGCACACAGGAGCTTCAGGAGGGGAGTGCCCAGGCTGGTCCCTACTGGTTGCCAGGACTCTTGGGTGACTGTGACTGACATTCTCAGAAGCTTTAGCTTCTGTGGACAATTGAGTAGCACTCACTTACTTGGATGCTGATTTAGGAGAAAGGGTATAGAGTAAGAGCCAGGCACTGTGGTGATGCCAGGTTTGGGACACTGTGCCCTAGTGGGCTATTGGGGCAGCTAATGGGATGTGGTCTAGCCTGGGGCTTGGAGCTACAAGGATCTGAGCCCAGCTGGGGACTCTGTGCCTGAGGGCTGTAACTGTGGCACTTGGCTGCTTCTTGGCCATCGATAGGAAGGGGATGGCAGTAACATCTGCCCTTCTAGAAAGACATAGAGGTCAAAAGAGAGGGCGTGTAAGTGCACCTGGGGCGGGGTCAAGAAGGACTGACTGAATTAGAGTAGGTTGGTTGAAGTTGGGGAGGTTTATGGTCATGTCCTTCTTAAGAATTCCATCTGACACTTGAATGCCCCTTAACTTGAGAAATCCTGTTTGGGTACTAGGTGTCTGTCAGTGCACACGTAATTATCAGAGCCTTCAATATGGCAATGTGATGTTCTTTTTCTCTTATCTGTTAATAGGAGGCTGCATTGTTGACTGTGAAATCCTTTTGAGTTTTCAATTCTCCAGATAGTCTCTGAACGATTATATCTGGGAAACCCCTCACCTTGATGCTAGCTATCTGGGTCTAATGCTTAAGATGCCTCCATGACCAGGCTGTGTTCAGAGGCTTTGGTGTCCCATCCCCCACGACCGTGCAGAGGAATTCTGGGAGCCTCTTGTGGGGCAGTGGGCTGGGCTGCTTGGACTGTGGGGTTGGCAGGTTCTCACCCAGTTTTCCTATTCTCCAGGTTGCTGTATAAAGCTATCGATTCAAACGGAGAGAATGTTGGTCCCGTCTACAACTACCGTGTGGAGATCTCCATCTTCTTCATCATCTACATCATCATTGTTGCCTTCTTCATGATGAACATCTTTGTGGGCTTTGTCATCGTCACCTTCCAGGAGCAGGGAGAGAAGGAGTATAAGAACTGTGAGCTCGACAAAAATCAGGTTAAAGTCACACGCTGTTCGTGTTTCTGCCCCTCAAGCAAGAACAGAACACCTCCTCTTTCGGTGGCTTTCGCTCCACAGAGGAGAGGGTTTGCCCCAGCTCAAGTTCCGTTCAGAGCACACCATCAGTCATGTTGAGTCTCTGCAGAGTTAGTCACCAGACACAGAAGAGACTGTGACTGGGGACAGCAATCCCCAAGCTTGTGGTGAGGAGGCAGAGAGCATTAAAGCCTCAGCCCACGGCCGTGACTGACCAGTGATGGTGCAGGGATGCCATTCTTGCATGGCACCGTGACCCTGAGCCAGAACCACTCAGACTCACACAGTCCCCACAGAGGGGCTCTTTGGTATCTGCTGCTGAAACTTTCTTCACCTTTGTGCTGTTGTGGGCTGATTCTTCTCACCTGTGCTCCCAGGGCACAGCTGTAGAGCAAGGAGCAGTGGCCTCTGCCCACCCAATGCGCTGGCATCCTCTTCCTCCAATAGGGAGTCAGAATATTCCCAGAGGTCTTCTGGGGACCACAGTTGTCTTCAGTCAAAATATGTTGTCATTCAGTAGGAAGTGTGAGGACTTTGCTGGCATTGTCGTCTCCTCCCTGTCTTGGCTGACGTGGTAGAAGTAGGAGCCTTGACTCTGGCTATGTGGTAAAGCAAGGAACCCAGGAGCCTGCGCACTCTGGTCCTGCTCTGCCTGTACCTGCTCAGTGACATTAGGTGCATCTCTGCCTCTGGGATCTTGGCCCCTTGTCCCTATTTAGAGATTATTTATGAAGCCACGAAGGAGTTACTCCACACGCATTCTTTTAAATTTTTAGCATATGAGTTTACAAGTCTGTTCCAAGGGTTTTCCTCTGTCTTCTGTTTTTTATGGTGAGCAAAAATGATCTGGCAGTGCAGGTTTCCTGCAAGGGTGGCCATGGTATATGAGGTATCCCCGCCGAGGTGGCAGCTGTAACCACATGTAGGGGCATGCTGGCTTGGTTTGTGGAAGATCTTTGCTGTGTCCGAGTGTCCTTGTAACCCCTACCAGTGATAAACTGGGAGAAATTGGCTTATTTCTTTGCTTATTCATGGAAGATAGGTGTAGGCAAGGCTAGGTAAGCCATGCAGAGCTGAGGTTACATGTGTGTGAGACCTAAAGCCCCATATAGGCTTCACTCTGGTGTCCCTAGTCAGAGTGACACTAATTCCAAACAGAGAACTTGTCTGAAGCCTGTTGTGTCTAGAATGAAGCTGAAGGTGAGGGGTAGGGTGGTGGAGGAAGGGGTGGAGGCAAGGGTGGAGGCAGGAGCAAGCCAGGAGGTCAACTAGAAGATCCCTCTCAGCTTGCTCCAAAAAGGAACTAGTGTCTGTCCCAGAGCAAGTGGAAGACCAGTGGTGTGTTTAGAGCCAACCTTAGATTATTCTAACCATTCTCTGGAGATGCTGAGGTGAGCATGGTAAGCCCCCACTCCATTAAGACTGGACAGGCATCTTCTATGGATCTGGTAGAGGATCCAGAGAGTATCCCGCCTCAGGAAGTAAACTCAGCCTCTGTGCTTCCTGAAGATTTCACGCTGTCATTAGCTGACTTCCTCTTGTGGAAGACAACACAGGCAGACTTTGCATTGCCACCTGCTGGCCAGGAAAGACCCTGACAAGGCTTGGTCCAAGCCTCCCACCCCGACCCCGACCCCGACCCCTAGTCAGAGACACCGCAGAGCTCAGCAGAAGCTACATGAGCTCTGTCTACAAATCTGAGCCAGCACCGTGGCTGCTCCACTTGCTTCCAGAGTTACCACAAGGCAAAGTCTAGATCCTCCCAGAGACTCGCTGTTGTTCATGGTCATTTCCTTGAGGGCCAGAGCGAGCTCTTTAGGCCGATGACCACTGTGTGCTCCTTCCCTGGAAGCTCTCAAAACCCCCATGTTTGCCCTTTTCTACCTTTGCAGCGTCAGTGTGTTGAATATGCCTTGAAAGCGCGCCCTTTAAGGAGATACATCCCCAAAAACCCCTACCAGTACAAGTTCTGGTATGTGGTGAACTCCTCGCCGTTCGAATACATGATGTTCGTCCTCATTATGCTCAACACGCTCTGCCTGGCCATGCAGGTAAAAATGGAGGTCACTATGGGGACTAAGTCTCAGTGTGTCACACAGCCCCGTACCCCTCATCCTGAGGATAGCATGTGCCACCTTCCTTGAGAAGGAGTTTGACTCTAGTGTGGTCAGAGTTTCTTTCTTCCTGACGGTTCTCGTGGTGGACACCTAAGGTCACTTTTATGTTTGGGTCTATCTGGGTGATGGAACCTGTGTGTGGTGATCAGTGTGGATCTTGAGACCCAAGAGTGACTGAGTAAAAGCCCCAATGCCACAGCTTCTGTCCTGGTTTCTGTCCTTACCAGCTGGTGGCACTGAGAATCTTACCCCAGGCCATGGCATGAGTGATGTGGGAAGTCTTCTACACCCACCTCAGGCCAAAGGATTCTGCTGAATTAGTCAAGTCTGGCACCTTGAAATTAGTTTGAGATTTTTTTAAAATTTAATTTCACATGTATGAGTGTTTTGCTGCCATGTATGTATGTGCATCATGTATGTGCCTGGTGCCCACAGAAGTCAGAAGAGGGGGTTGAATCTTCTGAAGCTGGAGCTATGGATGATTGTGAGCCAGCACGTAGGTGCTGGGAACTGAGCCCAAGTCCTCTGTAGGAACAGAGGTACCTTTAACCTTTGAGCCACTTGTCAGTCCCTTTGCCCCATGTCTGACACTTTGGTCTGCACCTGTCACTGCGGCTTTCAGTGTAGAGAAGGAAAACCCAAGTTACATTTCTGTCTTCAGGGGCTCCCAGTGTGATAGTGAAAGATTTTATAGGTTTGTTTTTTTTGACCCTCACCAAGTCAGATTGCAGAACAGTGCCCTGTGAATCTTTCAGCAGTTACTGTCTGATAGATAGGACACTAGGTCAGGAAGCAAGAACCAAGCTCTACAACCAGATTCTGCCCAGGCTTAAAGAACTTAAGCAAACTGAACTCTCGGTTCTTTGCAGAAGACAGGTCTATAGTCAAACACACATTTTCACACACGTTATTAAAGTTAAAAATGATAAAACCTGTATGTTGATCTAGGGGAAGGTGTAAAGCCTGGGTAATACCACCTTTAATAAGACATACACCTAAATAGTATATGATTTATCACTAATCAAATTCTACCTTTATCCATAGACATTTTGGTAGTATCTGCAGTGTGTTAGTTAAGGACCTGAGTGTCATTCCCAACAGAGAAAGGGTGACTCCCCTTACCTTGAACTGAAAGAATGGACATGTTATTTTCCCCATCGTCCAGTCTTCCTCATCGTGTTATGGACACCCACCCTGTGTTTTGTGGACGTTCACCATATGCCCTTGCAGTACTGGGTTGAATTGCCTGGTGAAGATGCTATACTGGAGGGTGGGAAGTGCCCCCGGGGTGCAGACGGCAAGGATGTGAGGTCCTGAAATGCTGACAGCTTTGCCTTCATCCGCAGCACTACGAGCAGTCCAAGATGTTCAACGATGCCATGGACATTCTGAACATGGTCTTCACGGGGGTGTTCACTGTTGAGATGGTTTTGAAAGTCATCGCATTTAAGCCCAAGGTAAATTGCTGAATCTGCTTTGCAGAGGTTGCTGTTGAATTGCCCCAGAGAAGGACCTGCTTCCTTTTAGCCTTGTGTTGCCGCATTATGCTAAACTCCTTTGGTAACTAACTAGGTTACCACCTGAGAACATTAAAATCTGATTAGGACATCTGTACACACATGGGGAAATAAATGTGCAGAAACAAAACCTTTTGAAAACAATTCTGAGAAAAAGAGAGGAGAGAATTGGGAATTTGTAGGCCGATTATCACTGCAAAACCTGGTTTTTCTGCTTTTGACTAGCATGTCGTGCTGGCTCAGGAAAATATAGCCCATTATCTGAGCACTGGGGGAGTGTCCGATAATCATCAGAAAGACTCTGACCCTGATTTCACTCTGAGATTGCTAGCACAAAGGCAGTTTTTATTTGTTGCTGGCCTCTAGCTTCCTTTTTACCTTTTATGGAAAACTCTGGTACCTCTCATGGCTACACCATCTCTGTTTGTTGGAGTTAGAAAAGTTCTCTTGGTTATGACAAAATGAGCGTGAACTGTGCTACACCACACCGGAGGAGTGGCTGCATTGTGTCCCCTTTGGGAGGGAGTCAGTTCAGTCCCACAAAGCCCAGAGGCTGTGGCGTCACAAGCCATGTAGCTCGGCATCAAAGGTCACAATTGTGAAACACCTGAAATCCATCCTCTGCCCATCACAAGTTCCTTCACTGCCCCACACCCCTCTTTCCTCCTCGGTTCTATGAGGAGACTATTATGGACAGTAAGGGTTTATTACATTCAGCGTTTCAAGGGTGTCTGGCATGTAGCCCCATGCTGGAGACTGCTCATGCCCCCACTACACCATTGCCAGTATCCCCAAGCAACAGTGTTCCTTCCCTCCAAAGCCCTAGACTGAAGAGCTGAGTTGAGCTGCCATGGGGGGCAGGGTTCTCCTTCCTAGCATAGACCCTGACTCTCAGAAGAGAGAATGACAGAGCCTGGTGCCTAGGTGTTCGTACTCCATGTGGAGGCATCCAATAACTGTGGTACAGCTTCAAAAAGGGTTGGGTTTGTGTACTCTACAGTTATACAGAATTTGAATTCTAGCCTGTTCCTTTCTTTAATTTGAAGTAATTCTTAGGCAATCTTTAATCGGATCTTTGTGGACCAAAAAGAAAGGACATTTGTAAGTGATTAATTGGGGTGATTGCAGTGGGGTCAAATTTGGCACCTTGCGCATGGCTAGATGTTACGTACTGTGACTTGTCCATACCTACCTACATAAACATTCCCTCCTTTTCCAAGTTCATCAGAACCTCCTCGGGGACTTTGGTTTGCTTCTCTTTTGCCTATACTTCTTAAACAATATTTGTCTGAACTGATGGGAAAGGTTGCAGAGTCAGAATGTGGGAAGTTCTTGAGAAATGTACATGGAATGATCCCATGGGACATTTCCCAGCAACTCTGTGCCGTGGCTTCCTGTGCCGGGTGATTGAGCTCTACAGTTGGAGAACACGCACACCCTACAGCATGTGAGCGTGTGAGAGTGTGTGTTTACTTGTGTGCATACATGCGTGCCTATATGTATTTGGGAGTGTGCATCTAAGCACATACCCTCTAAGGCTAGTGCATCAGTGCCTTGTTGCACATTGCTTGGCCCCAGTGAGTCTCCAAGCCTGGGAGAAGCGTCGAGTATCATGTGGACAGATAAGAAATACTCTTATGCTACAGAAGCTAATTTGCAGCCAGTGCTTGTAAATCAGAGCATTTAAATGGGCGAGTTCTACCAGCAAGTGCACTGCTTTGTAATTTTGCTCAGCAAGGCATTTTCATGGCCCCAGATGACCTCAAATTATGATCCAGAGAACCTTGACGACAGCTGTAGCATTCTTGCTCTTGAAGAGCAGTGTTGCTGTGATGGCTTATATTACTTTGTGCCAGACAATGGAAGGAGAATGGATCCACCAAGACACAGGGCTCTCCCTGAAGTCCCGCCTGGCTTTTAAAACCCACTCTTTTCATTGGTGCTCACAAGGCAAGCCCAGTAAGAGTGTTCTCTTACCAAGCAACTGGTGAGGGTTCCTCTGTCCTAGCTGGTCAGGTTAGCAGTTACCTCCACACACTTACACGCTGTAGGACCCAACCCTTGAAATGGTGCTGCCACACCCAGGGTAGGCTTTCCCCCTTCAGTTAACTCTGTTAAGAAAATTACTCACAGGCTTCCCAACATAGCCAATCCAGATAATTCCTCACTGAGATTCTCTTCTCAGGCCAGTCTAGGTTATGTCCAACTGACAATTAAAGCTAACTCGTGATCTACAGAGCAAGTTCCAGGACAGCCAGGGCTACGCAAGGAAACCCTGTCTCGAGAAAAACAAAAAACAAACAAAAGCTAACCAACTAGCACAATAACTTAAGTGCCAGAGTCAGAACTATTTCTGACTAATAAAAGCTATTACGTGTGGCTGTCTGACTTGTTCTTTGCAGGTGGTAGAGCTGAAGAGAGGATGGAAGGGAGGGAGGGAGAGAGGGAGGGAAGGAGGGAGGGAGAAAAGATTTGATTGCTGGTTTCCCCTGAGAAGCCCTGGCTTCAGAGATCCGTTATAGAAGAGTGTGTCACTCCTTCAGCTGGGAGAGTAGGTGGGGATGGGCCCTGTGTGAGGAACCATGGTGTCTTCCTGTGTAGGAAGGGTGGAGGAGCTGAGTCATGCTGCCAAGGCAGTGATTTCATGAACTAGGAGGCTGCTAAACAGGGAAGCAGTGTGTGGGAGGAAAGGGAGGGCTGGCATTCCTGCCTCCCCTGGACTGTCAGAGACACCTGGCCAGAGCCTTGGTCCCCAGTCACTTACACCACGAAACCTCCCGTGTTGTAGGTGAGGGATGTCAACCTTTAGTCTGCACTGTAGGGATTTGGGCACGGCGGCACCATTTTGAAACTGTGGAAGATTCTCTTAGTCTGTCAGATTTATAAAAGGTTCCCTGAGTGCTGGCCCTTATATTGCTGATTCCAAGGGATTTTATCCACCACAGTGTACCAGAAAAGGCTCCATGAAGAATATCTTATACCCAGACAGGAATGACCCAGAGTGGGAACGCTGACCATTGTGGAAACAGGGCTACTGCGCAGTGCACGTGAGGTAGAGCCGACCGCCTGCAGATCCATTAGGCAAGATGAGAACAGTAGAGCATGTGATACAGGGCCAGTCAGGAAGTGAGGAATAGGGGCTCAGTCTTTGGTGCTCTGTGAGTGCTTGTAGTCTTGAGTGCTGGGTTGAGGAATACATTCCACCCTGCAGGCGACTCAGTGAGGAAAAGGGAAGGGCCTGCCCATCACCAGAGTCTGCAGTGATGTTGCCAGGTAAAGAACTTGCAACAATATAAATAATTTAAGAGGACTCTGGGATGCTGGAGGCCCCATGTGACCAGGCTGCTGTCAGGAGACTACCTTGAGAAGGAAACAGGCTGTCTTGTGTCCTGGGGCCAGCTCCTTATCCTCCCTCTAGCCCACACATCACACATCCTCGCCGGTGCCTGTCTTCTCCCTGTTCGGCCAGCTGAGAATCCTGCATTCATGAGAAGCAAGAAGAAGAAGTGTGAGCTGTACTTTGGAGCAAACAGGCCTGTTGAGTTTCCTGCAGGACAATTCCATTTGTCGGTTCCTTGAGCTTCTGAGAGAACTGTTTGAGCACCAGCCAGTAAGGAGCAAGTGCTAGAGACAGCATGGCTATAAAGGAGAGACCAAGAGTCAATCAGAAGTTACTAAGGTTGAGTCTGGGGAGTCATTGTCAATAGTAACAAAGAGAAACAAAACGAATGACTTCCTGTTGATGGATGGTGGTGCTGTTAGAAGGAAATAGAAAGACATCCCACTCCAGTTGTTAGGAGGCAGCATGTCCCCCTTTTCCACAGTGCCACAGAAGGCCATGCCTCTGTAGAGGCTTCCTCTAGCCTTGCCTTTGATCACAGGCTTCTGGACCTTGACACTTCAAAATACCTCCTGTTCTGGTTTTCTTAATTCGTCTGTAAATGTGCCCACTGTACACATACTGAACTCTTTGTAGAACTCAGACCTGTGTTTTTAACCTTAAAACATGCTCCCCCTTTTCAAGATAGAAGCTGGCTTATAGACAAATCTTGACAGTATAGCCCCGGTAACTAACAGAAGCTTCCAGCTCTGTACAGAATGTAACCACCACGTCCAGTGTGGCTTTCTAGGGGGTGTTGGGAGTCAACAGGCACCAGTTAAGCATGAAGTGTGAAGATCCTCAAAGGCATAAATCACACAGAATTACATCTAAATTCTTAAGTCACAGATACATCAGAACTGATACAAGATACAAGAACCTGAAAATTGGGAGCCAGGAGACACTAGGGTACGAGTTTGTAGAGAAAGACATGAATGTGTCTCAGACACAGACCAGAGTCAAGGCTCCCGGGGCTGACAGGGTTGGTGGAGGTGACGACAGAAGAAGCTATGTGCTCCTCATCCTTAGAAGGCTCTGGCGTGGCAGACCTTCTGGATGAAGGCCTGAGAAAGGTATGGTCACTATGATAGAATGCGGATAGTCAGAAGGACCTGGGAAGCTCCACAAAGGAGCTGGCATCTGTCTGAGCTCAAGGGAGGTAGTGGATTTGAACTGATTAAGGTCAGGGGAATTGCAGAGGTATCAGGAAAAGAGCCAGGGACGTTGTTGAGGGAGTCAGAGAATATACTTAAGCTGGAAGATGGAAAGATAGAGAAAAGCAAAGGTCAAGGTAGGAGACCATTGGCCATCTGAGACCCCTGATTCCTCCTCTCCACCCTTCAGTCTGTTTCCCCTGCCTTGGGTTGTTTTTACATCACAATCCAGAGTCTCTCTGCCCTCGGCTCTGCCCTGAGGCTCTGTGTATCCCTTTGTGTATTCCATCTCCCTTTAAGCTGTGACCTTTAGATAAGTCACCCTGTGTCCTGTAAGCCAAGAGCCGTTGGGAATCCTGTTGCAGTGTGTGGCCTGTTATCTTTGCTGGACTGGTGAGGATGGGGGGTGGGGGAGGCTAGCCACCTAGTGGCTTTAAGTGGGAAAACAAATGAAGGGCACTTGGAGGCTCTTGGAGGTGTGGAGACTCACTCTTCTCTCAGCTCCTGAGGATTTAGGGTGAATACTCTGGGTAGCAGGGCTGGGATATCCTCTATCTGCCAGGGCCATACACCTGTAGTGTGTGTGTGTGTGTGTGTGTGTGTGTGTGTGTGTGTGTGTGTGTCCATGCTCACTCATGCCCTCTCTCACACACGCAGGAGCACAACCACCCCTCTGTACCCCTTTCCACCAGTAGACAGTATTGTTTTCTCCCCCTTTGGCTTTCCTGACCCCTTCCCTGGTTGCTATGGGTGCTGAGGGGACTCGGATGTGTCCCCTCATGTGATCCGTGTGATGTTCCCTTCATAAGTGCTCATAAACATCTGCCCCTGCCTGCTCTGTCCAGGGGTATTTTAGTGACGCCTGGAACACGTTTGACTCCCTCATCGTAATCGGCAGCATTATAGACGTGGCCCTCAGCGAAGCCGACGTAAGTATGCACCTGTGTGGCCTGCGTCCTCTCTCTTCCTGTCCGCACATTCTGCTCCCTGCCCTGATGTGGTATCACCTGGACAAGTCACAGACCCCAGTCATACTTGATCGGAAACTAGACATTTCCTCACAGAGACTGTGGGAAAGAACCTTCTAGAGTAGAGTCTTAGCCCAAGGCCTCTGCAGACACAAGCCGCCTTTGCAGGGCTGACTCTGGCACCATTGACCCCAGGCACTAGTAGGCAAGGTAAGATAGGGTGTCTCCGGTTGTTCCATCTGCTCTGTCAAAACCCATCCAAAGTTACGTATTGATGATGTGTTTGTCTTGGGGCGATTTTTCAAGTAGTCGAGTGGCATATTGTTAACGCTGTCCTTTTCTTCTTTTTTCCTGTTGTGCTTCCTGTCCTCTGTGGCTTCTGAATGCTTGCCTAACAGCACTATTTCACTGATGCATGGAACACTTTTGATGCCTTAATTGTTGTTGGTAGCGTCGTTGATATTGCTATAACTGAAGTGAATGTAAGTAGCAAACTTTGTGTCCTTAACGTGATTGTTTTCATTAATTCTGGCGCAGAAGAGACTAGAAGGCCCACCTGTGAATCCCCATGCCCATAAAAACTGCAGGCACTAATTCATTTTGAACGATAAAAGTCAGTTTGTAGTCTCCCATCCCTTGTCCTGTCTCCATTCGTTCCCCTAAAGAAATGGAGATAAAAGCATAGGATTGCCACTTTGGAATCTCATGGGTGCCATCACTCTCTAGCTAGGTAACCTTAACAGATCTCCTGACTGCTTTGCATCCCAATGTTTGCAGTTACAGGATGGAGTCAGTAGTGCGTGCCTTGTGCCCACACGGTTCTGTGATGGCACAGGAGACCCCTAGAGCCATGCCTGGCTTTGAGGTAGTTGCTGCCACTATCCTCCTCCTAGCTTTGGGTCTGCTCTGAGTCTAGCTGGTAACACCGGCCCTTAGTCCTCAGAGTGTTGCTGGTGTGTGTCAAGAGAGTGTCGCTGCCCTCTTTGTCACATGCAGTTTCTTCTTGACAAGGGAGCACAGACATACTGGGCGGAGCAAGCCCCCAGCACGGGCAGGCAGCAAAGGGCCCTGTCCGCGAGCCTGCTCAAGTCCATCAGCAGGCTTTAGTGGACGTATGTCAGTGTGCATGTCCCGCGAGGCGGTGAGCGGAGCTTGGGGAAGGACGATTGCGTGGTGTCGACTTTTGCTCTGTGTTGCCAGTCCAGTGCTGCCTGCTGCCTGCTGCCACCCCAGCGTTCAGCTCTGCCTGGCTGATGTATGCAGGGCTGAGAATTGTCAGGTCCATCCTGGTACCCACACTGCCTGTTCCAAATGGAACAATGGTGTTCTTTGATGCCCACTGGTGCAGCAAGGCTGACTTTAGTCAGTATGGATGGTTGGACAGCCACCACCCTATCAGTTCCTGCCCTATTTCCGTCTTCAGTTTCCTCAATTATAGGTCCAGCAGAGTGGGTATATCTGCTGGAAATAAAATTGTGTGATTATTCATGAAAATACTTATTAAATAACAGGTTATGAAGATGCACTGTTATTCATGCAGTATTCCTGTATACTATGTAAAATAGACTGTAAGACATTACCATGGCCACCAGAGTATGATGTAAGCCCCCTCACACCAGAATCTATACTATGCCACGCCAAGATACTAAGATGACATTTTGCCAGGCCTGGCCTGAGTACACATATCCCAAACTCCTTAAGCCGAGGCTTATGTAAATTCAACTTTACAAGACATATACTGTAGGCAACTATAAAATTTCCGTGCATGATATGTAAATGTCATTTGGGTGTAAAATAATCAGTTGTTGCTGAAAGGACAGAAGGACCCTACCTTGATTGTCGTGTGGCGTGACATCTGACTGCTTTAATCATCTCAAGGCATTTGAAGTATCTGTTCTGTATTCAAAGAACTTCCCATGGGTCAGAAACAACCTATGACAGATGTTAGCACATCTAAACTGCCCTATGACAGATGTTAGCATACCTAAACTGCCCTATGACAGATGTTAGCACACCTAAACTGCCCTATGACAGATGTTAGCACACCTACACTGTCATTCTAGCAGACTTTCAGTGCGGTGAGCCAGAGGTCATAAACTCAATACTTTTTGGGTACCAGGATGTAGCTGAGGCTTGTTCATTAGCTAGACACCCAGCTGTCTTGTGCTGCCTATCTGCTGACTAGTGTAACTTGGTACACTCAGAGGCAACACCTGCTTCATGGGCTGGGTGCTGGACCTGCTCTTCAACTTGGCCCTGCCTGTCAGTGTCTCAGGGCGGTCCTGCTTCTCTGTGGATGGGGAAGGTCTACGTGTAAGTGTCCAGTTAGCACTTAACGTTACGTGTCTGTGCAAGGCCTCTTTCATGATGTCCAGTTCTTGTTGAAGACTCACATTGGGGAATATTACCAGTTCCCAAACCTGCTGGCAGTCAGTGACCTTTTTCTGGCTAACTATATTCTGAGACCAAACCCTCCTTAGCCTTGGCCTTGGCAGCTTCCTATTCTGAATTACCTACAGAGATCTGTGTCCGTCCACTGTCCCTTGATACAAAGGTCATGTTCCCTGCTCATTTATCCCATCTTCAACACCACTTTTACTGGGCATCTACAATTTGTAGGCTGGAGCTAGGCTCTGGGAATAATCAACAATTTAAAAAAAAACATTCTTATTCTCTGACGTTACATATATTTCAGGATGGGGATATTTATTCCTACACCCTCCTTCCACACATACATACAGTTCCCCAGGAGAGCAACGCATGTCACATCCCCAGTGGCCTTGTCCTGATGTCGGGAGTCAACTGAGCATGGATACCCTCGGTCCATTGTTGGCTGATCTGAGTTGTCATCAGCATCATGTTTTGTGATGTTTAACCTGCTATGCTCTCTCCCCCAGACTCTGTTGATCTTCCTTTTCTGTTGCCTAATTGATTTTCATGTTGGTTTTATTTTTAGAAAATTGTAGCGGCAAGTATATATAATCATATATACGGTGAAGTCGTTAAGCAAAAATGCTTCTAGAGACTGTATACTTCATTTCTGCTTCCCACCTTTGGTGTTTTGCTGAGTGTCACAGGACTTGCTAAGGATCATCCATGGTCATTTTAACTGTTTCTTCTCCCATATGTCCTTGTCCCTGACCAGGGCCTGGGCTCAGGCTTGCTTGGTCAGTCATATTGGCTCTGTGATTTGCTAGCACAGCCTTCCAGAATGAATAACCTGGCCTGGAAAATAAGAACTCTAGCTTGTTTGTAGTCTTTGCAACAACAAAATTTTTTGATGGCCCTTTGCATTGTCCTGTTTGCATGTTCACCGGTCCTTCCCATCCTTCTGTCCCCTCCATGCTCCCCACCCGCTTGCTCATGCTGTGATGGCTTTTCCTGGACCTGTCCCTTCACCTTTGGTTGTGATGTCACCAAGCTGCTGAAATGTTGGATGACACTAATAGACTTACTTTGCTTTCTCGCCAATGCCTGTTTGTTCTTTGAGTTCTAAAACAATCAAGCCACAGTTTTTCTGGCCCAGGGATGGGTGTTGCTGACAGTCAGACTTTTTTCATCCCACCGTTGCCTGGGAGAGAGTGGTCTTGCTTAGAAACTGGCTGCTTGGTGCTTATCAAAGAACGTAGAAAATCTCGACGGGAGCTCACCCTCAGATCCTTGTCAAGTGCCCAGCTTAGACGCTGCCCCCACCGTTTCATTCAACTTGTTGACGGAATGAGACACAATAGTTTGGCTCTCAATCCCATATGGTAGCTGGGGACCAGGCTGAGGAACGTGACCTTGCAATAGCAGAAGCTACTGAAGCTGTCCGACAGTTCCAAACCTTTAGGTGACAATGAAATTCTACTGAACATGGATCGCCCAGGTCCTCAAGGCCATTCTTGATAACAAAGGCATGTAGAGAGCAAGTCTTTTCCCTGCTTCAGGTGCTCTAGTGTTTTCCACAGGTGACTGAAAAGTTGAGCATAGTACCAGGTAACTTATGCTCCTGTCCATGCTCTACCTTTCCGTTCCCAATGTGCCTCCTCTGTCCCTTAGAAAGAAGATAGAGGTGTTTAATTCCCTTGCATCCAAATTCTGATCCCTCATCAAATCCAGAAGGCTTGCTCAGCTGTACCAGCCCAAGTGGCTTTTCTAGTGGTCCTACCCTCTGTGCTACACTGTTGCAGTGAGCTCTCTGCTGAACACTTGGCCCAGCATCACTATGGGCTAAGGACCAGAATTCTCAACTCTGAGCGCATATTAGAATAACTTGGTGGCTTTAAAAATTCCTGAAGTGTAGAAGGACCCAGATCAATTTAGGAAATAGCTTGGGCGGCACGTGGGCATTGGTGGCTTTAGAGTGCAGCCCAGGATCAGAGCAGCTGCCCTCTCTGCAGATGGGGCAAAGCCATCCTAGGGGGCCTTCCAGTTTGAAAGACATTTTGTCAATTTGCATGGTCCCCCACTGATGTCAGATACATTCTCCCTGATAGCAGTTCTTCCTGCCCTACAGTGTGTGGCAGCAGGGGTGATGATGTTTCAGACCACTCTGGGGGTGCATGCAGCCTGAAGTGCTTTGTTCTTTTGTTCCTGTGTTGCATGGTCCACTGCTTTGCCTCCTGACAGATGCTGTCTCCTCTCCTCTCCATAAAAAACAAACAAACAAGCAACAACAACAACAACAACAACAACAAACGTTGACTAGATGTTGTGATCTGTACCTGTAATTCCAGTATGTAGGAGGTGGAATTTGAATTTAAATTTAATGATTGATGATTGTCATCTTTCAGATACACTTAAAAAGATACACATTTCCAAAGTCGATTTAGCCAACTTTTATCAGTCCAAAGAAAGAGGATCATAAATGGCCTGTCATGGAGTAACCCAGAGGAGCAAGGATAACGGATAGCCAGGAAGAGCGGCTGGCTCTGCTATTGCACATCCCACATATGATACGGGGATTTTGGTCACATAACTGTGGAGGGCTCTGCTCTGCCCCCTCCAGTCCTCTGACCATAGACAAATGGAGGTGTACATACACACATAGTTACATAGATGCTCACATGTGCACTGTCCAGCTGCCTGGTCAGGTGGCCCTCCTCTCCACAGCCCTTAGGGAGAGTGGTGTGGGGGACAAGAGTACTGGGAAATTAATTCCTGTGTATATTATAGTCTTAAATTAAAAAGCAAACAATAACACAGAACCCCATGATCTAAGTTAGGCATAGTGGCTCACACCTATAACCCCAGAACTTCGGAGGTAGAGACAGGGGAAGTCAGAGTTTGAGGCCAACCCAAGCTTTATAATGAGACCCTGCTCCCTGTCTAATTAAACACACACACACACACACACACACATACACACACACACACACACACATCATTGCTTTAAGGATATGTCGCTACTTCTGGGGTGAGGCAATAATAAATATAAACAAAATTGATAGACCCTAAGTTCTGACATGCCTGTAGCAGAGCTCCTGTCCTGAGCATCCATCCAGTTGGATTAGAGCCCTTTCTGGTGATCAGGACCTGTTCCTAGATCCAGAGTCTCTGCTGAGTTACAGGCATGGCTGGCATAGCCAAACCCATTTACCTCTTATGACCATAAAATTCTTCTCTTTGGGCTCAGGAATCAGTATAAGAACCAAGCCTTTCTTCCCCCTGTCTCCAGGGGAGGACGAATCTAGCAGCGTGCCCACCTACCTCCCTGTGTAGTTTTACTGTGTGCTGCCACCGAAAGCCTGGGCTGGGAACCTCCAACAGCCTTTCCTTTGTCCAGGAAGACCCACTACTTAAGTGGAAATGATAGTGGTGGGGGGAGAGACAGGAGGATGTCTCCTTCCTTCATTCTTGCTATTATTATTATAGATGCTTCCCATAGGGAAGGCTTGCCTCCAGCATCTTTGTATTTTCTTAAGCAATTCCCTGAAGGTTCTAAGGTGAGCACTAGAGTGGGAGGAAGGGCTCAGCCCTTTGTGAAGGTGAGAGAACAAATGAGCACCAATCCTTGGTGTGCTCCAACGTCCAGGGTACCAGGCACACAGTCGGACCTGGGGGAGGTAGAGCTGCTGGGGCTCAGGCAAGCTAGCCTCATGATGTCCTTCCAGAGTCCTGAAGACTCTGTGCATGCCTGACCAAGGCCAGGCTGAACTTCCAGCAAAGCAGTGCAGGTGGCTGGAGAGAAGCCTGCCTCTGTCCTGTACACAGACCAGGCCTTCCAGCCCTTCAGCAGAGGCACTGATCCAGTGGAGTACATGGAATGCTTAAGTGTTGGGACCACAGGCAGAGCCACTCTTTTCCCCATGGTTAGAGGCATTTGGGGGCCTGCTACAGAAGGTCAGCTCCTTTGACTGAGCCAGGGAAGCAGAGCTATCTCTGAACCTGTCTTTAGAGACTGTTAAGGTCTGGACCACAGTTTTTGACCAGTCAATCACCTGACACTTCAAACCCCTGGAGGAAACTAGACTAGCATAGTGTGCCTGCCCCTGTCAGTGGCTGTCCCCACCTCCAGTCCAGTTCCAGAATGAGGGACTGGTGTTTTCTCAGGGAAGGAGCAGCTGTGTTGACCAAAGCCCTTACACACTGGTAAAAGGGGGGTGATGTTTCCTGAGCCATTGCTTCCTTCCCCCTTCATTAATACATTTCAATCTTTGATTTCTTAAAGCCAACTGAAAGTGACAGTGTCCCTCTCCCAACTGCTACACCTGGGGTAAGATCAGTGACTGGTCCCCAGGGGCTGGGCCTTCGCCTTTAGTTTATTTGACCGTGTTGAGTTTTCCACTGGTGTTCTGTATTCTCCATGATTGTCCTTCCAGAACAGTGTCTGCAGTGGCTTGCATTCCTCATCAGTGTCCAGTACTCTTGAGCAGCCCAGCGTTCTCCTCTAACACAGTAGAACACGTGGACATGCATGTGCTGTGTGGATGCAGTTTTCCCCCAACCCCTGTGTTGTTAGCATGTGATTTCCATTCATACCATGCTTTCTGAGGTGAAAAAGGTCCTAGAAACACACCTCCAGTTCTTACTCTGTCACCTCAGCATCTGTTGCTGTTTTCTCAAAGTGTTGCATGTTCTACTTTCCACTGGGTTTGACCTCTCCATGATAACCCTTCAGAACTCTGAAGAGAGCAATAGAATCTCCATCACCTTTTTCCGTCTTTTCCGAGTGATGCGCCTGGTGAAGCTTCTCAGCAGGGGGGAAGGCATCCGGACACTGCTGTGGACTTTCATTAAGTCCTTTCAGGTAAGAGCCCTGCCAGGTCTCCCCTTTCTGTCCTGGGGGCGTAAGTAAGTCAGGGATTGTCGTCTGCCCTGGAAGGCCCCCAGCGCCCTCTGAGGGACCACCGTGTCAGTGGTGACTGTGGGGTACCATGCAGCACTGCTTCTGATGAACCAAGTAGGAATCGAGAGGCAGAAAGAAGACCCTGAAACTCAGAGAATAGCTATGGTTCCCAGATGGAAGGAAATGGAAGTCTTTGGAATGTCTGATTGCCCAGAATGTCCAGCAATAGTTGTGTCTGAGAGAGGGAAGGCACTATACATTCCCCTAAAGCCTGGTCGCCTCGTCTTAGTTACTATTATAGCACCACGATGAAACATCATGACCAAGGCAACTTATAGAATAAGGCATTTAATTGGGGCTTATTTGCAGTTTCAGAGGGTGAGTCCACGATCCGCTTGGCAGGGAGCATGGCAGCAGGCTGTCAGGAATGGGTGCTGGAGAAGTAGCTGAGAGTTCACATCTAATCTGCAAATTATAGGCAGAAAGAGAGAGAGAGAGGGAGGGAGGGAGGGAGGGAGGGAGGGAGAGAGGCTCAGATAGAGACAAGAGACAGAGTTTATGTGGATCATTCTCATTCAAACCACCATGTAGCCTCTCTCTAACTTAGATGGATTCTCTACTTAAACCAGGTTACTGGATGCTTGATAGAATTTTAGTTCAGTTCACTCAGGTATCCACTGGGCCTTATTTGACACCTAGGACTCCTTCTTTCGATTGGTTCTAGTCAATTCCTAAACAGAACTTTCTGGTACCCTGCTGTAGACCATCCCACTCTTCTGGCCAGAGTCAACTGAGGCGAGGAATCAATGTGGATTTGTGAGAAAAGGTGCAGCCATGTAGGGATCTCGTGCACATGCACAGATGGTGCAGAGTGAGCCATGCACCTTCTCTGCTTCGTTAGCTGTGTTTCGTTCATGGCTTAAACGTTCATGTGAACCAGTGAAGTTATATAAAGAAAAAATTCAAGTTTGCCCCTCACCACCTTTGAAATAACCATTTAAAAATCCCAAGTAATATGTATTTATTTATTTGTTTGTTTGTTTGTTTGAGATGGGGAACTAGAATAATGGAATGCATTCATGCAAAACAATCCTGTTTCTTGAAGATATTATTAAAATTTTTAAAAAAGTAGATAAAGAAGCCAGGTAGTCATTTGCCTTGAAACACTATGCTAGCACAGTCCTCAAACATTTGGATGCCTTGGATGAAAATGCAAAGAGCTTTGGTGGAGTGGCTAGCCCTGCCCTGCGAGATGCCAGTCATCAGCCCCCCTGTTGGTATGGTGCTGTAGCACTGGACCAGGCTGCAAGTCCCAGAGCCGGTAGCCTGTAGGTGGCCTGTCTGCTTTCTCATGTACTGTCCTAGGTGGGAAAGGGCTGCTCGAATCACATGTGCTTGGAATTAAGCCCATCAACCCAAGCAGCCTAGGGCACACCATACATACACATGGGTGCATTTGTCGTGTGTGGCAATGGAAACATGGGCCACAGGACTCAGGTCTGGCCAGGCACACAGACTTGTTGGGGTGCTTTTAAATAAAAAGAGCCTATGTTTGTTACCATTCAGCTAGCTTGTTTTCGTCCTGGGCCCAGCCCTTGACTTGGTAGCTCTTTTTGGGCGAATGTCTGGTTCAGCGGATGGTTTTAAAGGCAGCCTCAGATGCACCAAAACACATCTAAGTTGCAGTTAGAAAAGAAAGCTCCGCAGATTCCCTTGTGATTTGACCAAGAGTGACCCCATGTTTGAAGTTCCACCTTTCTTCCTGTCTTCAGTCTGTCTGTAGTTGTGGTGGCTGGCATGTCTGTCATCTGTCGATTGTATATAACTGATCTGTCCCCTTGCCTTGTCATCCTTAAGACTGACTGATGTCTGACTTTCCCTAAGAAAGGGCTTTGCTCTGTGTTGAGCAACCTAGAAAGCATCACATGCAGAAGAAATGAGGGGATATTTTTGCAGAAATCTTTAACAGAGTTTTCCAAGAGAATGACTTTTTGCACCAGACTCCAGAGCACTCAACACTGGAAATGCACCATCATCAAGTTTTATCCGTGTGCTGATTCCAATGTTTATGGCAGATTTTGTTGCATAAGATTGTTTTCAACCTATTTTCTGTTTTCAGTATTTATTACTATAATATACACACACTGCTTTTTTGGTCAGGACCATAGAAGAATACATAGCTTATCATAGTTTTGGATTATTTTAGGTTATAAAAGCTCATTATCCAGGAAATCTGAGGTGAGTAAGGGTGATTGATTCATTGTTGCAGACAAGTTAAGCAGGTTGAGTATACAACGGGATTAAGGACCAAGTGATCTCAAGATGTATTAACTGTGAAGTCTAGCAAAACTTGTAATCTCTTTGAATATAAGATATTTTCATAAAATGTCTCACTACTGCATTTTAAAGTATTTTGTATCCGGAAATTGTTTTTGACCCTCTGACTCAGTAATTCTGCTCCTATGCCCCTACTCTAAGAAAACCCAGAATCAAGGTGATTTTGCACAAAGATGTTTCTCGACTCCTCTACAACAGCTCCCCAACCCCCACCCCAGATACAGAGGCAATGGAAGCAATTGGGGAATCTGATAGTTTGGAATGATTTGATCAATTACGGTTTCATGAAGGATGCAGGGTACGCGTCAAACTCCCTGAGAACTGTGTGGAACTATATGGAAACTGGTTCAGGTTAGCACGGGGCGAGACTGAGCTTGGAGCGCACACCCTGCCTGTGACACTGTGTAAGTCTAGGCGTGCAGGTGTGTGGGTCTCCAGCACTGGAGCGCTTGTGCTGGGCTAGCCTCATGTGGGATGAGCCCGCCAACCCGTCTTGTCTCTCACAGGCGCTCCCGTATGTCGCCCTGCTCATTGCCATGCTCTTCTTCATCTACGCCGTCATCGGCATGCAGGTGAGTCGCAGCTGCCTTTCACTCGCAGAACCCCTTGCGAGGTGGCCCCAGGTCTGTACTTAGGCCGGGTAACGTAGAAAGACAGGACTTATGTTTTCAGTTAAATGCCGTGTCTCCTTCGGAGATAAGGAGAGAGAATGTCATGGCCCCTTGGGTGGGATAGAGCTGCTGTCAGAGGAAACCAGACACAGAAGGATGCAGAATTCGAGATGCAGCGGGAGACTGTTGTGCTAGCCCTCTGCCCCAACCACACCTGCACTCCTGTCTTAGGAGAATGAGCTAGACAGGAAGACCTGTGGTCGATCAGAGCCGCAGAACGCCATAGATGCCCCGGTGGAGAAGGAGATGCCCCAGTCGTCAGTTGGCGATCACATGCTCTGCACTGATGATGCTCATTCCCAAAGCCTGGTGATCACACGGCATTCTCACATGCACCCAGACGCTATGGTTAGGACTAAAGCTGGGCGTGGACCCAGGCCTTAGGCTGAGAGACTGAAGCCTTTGCTCCAGGGTTAGGAAAGATTTGGGGCCCTCACTGACAGCTGGGTCCTAACACCCTGGGGTAGCTGGAGGACAACGAACAGCTCTGAGTACCCGGAGTCAGAGGCAAGTGACCTACATTGGTAGAATGTTGTTGTTCTGGCTGCAGAGAGGTGCACCCGGAGAAGTGACATAGTTCCAGCACAGAGTGATACTGTATTTATTTGGTTTTTGTCCTGAAAGCATAGAAGTCCTTGTAGGAATTTTATTGGGAGTTACAGGAAAGAGCCATCATCACACCAGAGCCCTTGTAATGGACTAGCATGTGATGCTGCTGCTGGGTGTTGTGATGAGAGGGCTCTGCAAGCTTCATTGCTCACCTAACTCCAGATTCTCATAGCAGGCATCTGCCAGAACCCAAGACCTTCTGATGCCAGTCTGTGTCATCATTCCAGTGGGAAAGCTTTGCTGGGCAGGCGGAGCCCACAAGGCCCCGCTTGTAGTGATATTTCATTTGTGTTTTAATAAAGCTTGCCTGAAGATCAGAGTAAAACAGTCACACTGGTCAGCCATACAGATCAGGCAGTGGTGGCACACACCTTTAATCCCAGTAGCCACACTAGTTAGCCATAGAGGCAGGGCGGTGGTGGTGCACGCCTTTAATCCCAGCACTAGAGAGGAATATAAGACAGGAGGAGAGAGCTCTCAGCTCAGTCTCATTCTCAGGATTCTTGGACTCAGGATCACCATTTCAGACTGAGGTTGAAGTAAGAGCCAGTGGCTGGCTGCTTTGCTTTTCTGATTTTCAGGTTGAACCCCAAGATCTGTCTCTGGGTTTTTATTATTTGTGCTACACCCAGCCCGGGGAGGGCAGGTCCTCAAGGCTTCACCCCATTCCCTTTGTCTTCTCTCTTTTCTATTCCTCTTCCCTCCTCAGGACATTGTGATCCTTCCAGGTGATGCTCCCACCACCTGGAGAACTCTTGCCTTTCTCACCTGACTGCTGCTTCTCCTTCAGTTCTAGGCTTATGTACTGCTCCCTCTGGGGTCTTCCTGTCCTGTCTGCCTAGCACTGGGGAAACGAGCCCCTTCCCTGTTCTCTGTTCCCTGCGAGGTTGGATCAGGTTCCAGCACTCACTGTGGCTGTTTGCCATTGCTTGATTACCCTTGTATTCTCCTCAGGGCAGAGACTCCTGCAGGGTGACAGTGTGCCTCTCTGAGACAGTGTATTCCTAATGTCCAACCTGGTGCATGGCACATGCTGTGCCCAGCAGATCTGTGCAGCGTGCAGAAGGGGCCAGGTTCTTAAGGAAGCCTGGGTCCTAAGAGAGTCCTGAGTTAGTTCTAAAAGTCACGTGAGTCTTTTTATATGACTGTGAGTCAGTATTTCATGACCATACTGAAATATTGGAGATAATTAACTTATAAAGAGAAAATGTTTATTATGGCCTGAAGTTTAGGTGGTCTAATCCAGGATCGACTAGCCCCATTGCTTTGCCCCATGACGAGGCAGGACACCATCGTAGAAATTCATCATGGAACAGGCTCAGAGAGACTTCAGCTTCCCACATTTTCCTGTGAAGATACACCCCCAGTGACCTGAGGACCTCCCACTAGGCCCCACCTCTTAAAGTTGTACTTCTCAACAATGCTACCCTTAGGGGACCAAGCTGCTAATCACATGAACGTTGGGAGAACGTTCAAGATCCAAACTGTAATAATGACAGAAATCTGATTTTCTTTTTTCTCCCTAAATAACTTCCTCGTCTAGATGTTTGGGAAAGTTGCCATGAGAGATAATAACCAGATCAATCGGAACAACAACTTCCAGACTTTTCCCCAGGCGGTGCTGCTGCTCTTCAGGTGAGGGGGTCTGAGGGGGTGGGGGTGGAGGGTGGAGGGTGGGAGTGGAGGGTGGAGGGTGGTCCTCCTAGAATTCTGAGTGACTCGTGATGCTTGCTCCTCTGCTTGGCTCTTGGTAGACTTTTGCTTTGTTGTTGCTGTTGTTCTATATTCGTTAGTTACTTTGTTTTGAAATACTCAGTCTGTAGTCAGAGCTGGCCTCAAACTTATGACAATACTCCTGCCTCGGCCTCTCAAAATGCTGGGATTGTATGTTCTTCTGTGATCAGCTGTTTTATATCTTTTTAACATGTTACTATTATTTCATGTGTATGTATGAATAGAATCAGTGTTCATGGGTGGACATGGCACTGTGTGCGTGTGGAGGTCAGAGTCAGTCTTCTCTTTTAACCTGTCATGGGTTCTGAGGATTGAGCTCGGGTCATCAGGCTTGGACAGCGAACACTGTTTACTGACTGACCTTTCTCCCTGGCCCCAATTTTGTCTTCTTAAACAGAACTAGCATTTCCATTGCATTGTTAAAACTGTTGGGGTCATTCAGATTGTAGCTGATACTTAGATCGCCAGAAAAAAACACTGTAGGCCAGATACCTATGCATGAAGAGTGTATCAGAACACAGCCAGGAAAGCAGAAATGCAGAGAAACATGGAGACATTCTGCAAAGCCAATTAGAACATCTTAAGATGTACAACCTCACACTTTATGGGATTATCTTTAACCCCAGCTAACTAACTTTGCAAGCAACCCTCCTCACACTGAGAGAACTTTCCAGAAACCAAGAAGCATTGTCCAATGACTCCAGCAACTGTAAGGGCTCATTGATAACTTGGGTGGTTTCAGACTCTTCCCTTTCAACAAAATCAGTCAGGACTAGTCATTAAATTATTGCAATAGGAATGTTTGAGGAAGAGAGAGGAGAAAATGAACACCCATTTATATAAAGAATTGCATCAGACACGTTTATAAATCATATTATACCAGGGCCTCTAGTTACTAAGTTATATCTGAAAGTGGGGTTTCCAGACTGTCACTAATCCAAATGGCATTGCTACACTTACATATATTTGACACAAGAATTTTCTTCCCAAATGTTTAACACATCGTTTTCCCAATTAAGACCCTATCCCTTCTTTTAAACAGGTGTGCCACAGGGGAAGCCTGGCAGGAGATCATGCTTGCCTGCCTCCCAGGGAAACTGTGTGACCCGGACTCAGATTACAACCCCGGAGAGGAATACACTTGCGGGAGCAACTTCGCCATCGTCTATTTCATCAGCTTTTACATGCTCTGCGCCTTCCTGGTAAGCAGCCTCAGGAGTCTCGGTTTCCATTTTCAGAACCACTGTGGCATTTGGGGTTCAGACCAGTAGTGCCGCCTTGTCGTGCTTTGAAACAGTTGGTACGCTCTCGACCCCACCAGGCAGGTGGCAAGTCTTGCTTAATCTGGCCCACGTCATGGCTCACTGATGGGCTGGGCGTAATTTCCAGCCAGCCTTGCTACTGAGGGCTGTTGTTTCCTTTCTAACATTTCAAAGGCACCGCACATGGCTTAAGTGCCCCCAAAGTGTGAGCTGTCTCTAGCTACAATTAAATTATAAGATTACAGTGTGCTTTCGGGTGCTAGTTAATGCACCCACCCACCCCCTCTGAGTGTGTGTCAAGCCATCTGATCAGATGCTTGCCCTTTCCTCAACAATTCTACAGCAAGAGAGTATTGTGGCCTGCGACTGCAATGTGGGTTCCAGTATTCCACGCCTCTGTAGGGAGGAGGCAGATAGCATGTAAGGGATCTCCCCTACCATCTCTGAAATACCCTCCTGATCCACTTTTCCAGATCATCAACCTCTTCGTGGCTGTTATCATGGACAATTTTGACTATCTGACCCGGGACTGGTCTATTCTGGGGCCTCACCACTTGGATGAATTTAAAAGAATCTGGTCAGAATATGACCCTGAAGCAAAGTAGGTTGAAAAGCACCCACCTGGCTTGTGGGCGTCCTTTGGGGATGTCAGGAGGCTTCCGTGGAAGGGCGGGTGGAAGTGGGGGACTGACCGCTCCTGGAAGGCCGTGCTGCCTAGGACCGCAGACTGTGCTTTCTTCCAGGGGAAGGATAAAGCACCTTGATGTGGTCACTCTGCTTCGACGAATCCAGCCTCCTCTGGGCTTTGGGAAGTTGTGTCCACACCGAGTAGCATGTAAGGTGAGTGTCCTGCCTCCAAACGTGACGGCTTGTTTGCTGCTTTGTTAATCACACACAAGCACTGTGATATTCAGCCAGGCCCTCTTTAAGGTGGGGCTGTGGAGAGAGTAATGAATGTTTTCTGTACTGGAGGCACCCTCAAGTTTACAACACCTAGAATCCCACCAGGACCAATAAGAGGAAGGGGATGCTACAAGTTGTCACCTGGTTAGATGTCAGAGAAAATGATATTTAGGACAAGGCCAGGAGGTCGTGGATGTAGCTCTGTGACAGTGTTTATCCAGCATGTGAAAGGCCCTGGATGTGAGTCCCCAGCACCACCAAACCAACATAACAAACAGAGGGGACCTAGGAGCCAGCCAGAGGCAGGAAAGGCTTCACAGAGGGAACCCAGAATCCAGGCTGTAGCAGAAGGAGCCTCAGCTTGACCGACAGCAAGCCACTGACTAGAACACGAGAAGTGACAGAGGGCCCCATGCATAAGCTGAACCTGACTGAACACTCTGTGTCACACTGAGTCCTGTGGAGAGTAATGAACCTGGAAAGAAGCATGAATTTCAGGTTGCCATGGCAGAGCTGGTTGTGTTAGCATGAAGAAGCAGACTGTAGGACGGAGCTAAACTGGGCAGCCAGGATGAAGGCAGTGGGTATGGGGAAAGAGGAGAAGGCAGCATGAACCCACTGAGGAAGTACAATGGGGAATACCTCGCAGACGGATGAGGAGAGAGTAATGAGGAAAGAACTAATTCAACGCTTAACTTGGCAGTTGTAGACATTAGAACCTAGCTTGGCGGTGGTAGACATTGGGTCCTACTTTGGCAGCTATAGGTAGACACTAAACCCTAGCTTGGCAGTGGTAGACATTGGGTCCTACTTTGGCAGCTGTAGGTAGACACTAAACCCTAGCTTGGCAGTGGTAGACATTGGGTCCTACTTTGACAGCAGTAGGAGATACTGAACCCTAGCTTGGTGGTGGTAGACATTGGGTCCTACTTTGGCAGCAGTAGGAGATACTGAACCCTAGCTTGGCAGTGGTAGACATTGGGTCCTAGTTTGTGGTAGGTACACACCAAGCCCTAGCTTGACGGTGGAAGAAGTGGTGACGTCACATGTGGCCTCCCTGCTGTAGAGTTCTAGAGAGACCCTCCCTGGGGCATGAAGCTGAGGTGTCTGTGGGATCCCCCCACACTGGTTGTGAGGAGCCCTCATTCATGTTGACTTTTCTCCAATACAGCCCACAGAAACTATCTCATGTTACTGTAGCAACAGGAATATAAGGTTTGCCTGTTGAACTTCTTGAGGAAGCCCATCCAGAGCACAGAACCCAGTTGGCTGAGTTTATCTTTGTTTGGATCCCATATTCCTTTACATAAAGGATCTAAGGGTTCTTAAGACACAAAGTCATTCATTTTATTGATTTAGTATTTGTCGGGAAAGTGAATGGTGGTCGGTTCCAGTCATCCTGCTGCACTGATTTTGGAGACAGGAAAGGTTGACGGTAGAACTTGGAATTTAGGTAGGTTTCCCAGGAAGTTGAATTCTAGTCCTTCAGTAGGATGGGGGGAAAATTTAAACCTTTCTTTTGCAATAAACTGCTAGCCAAAAAACAAACAAACAAATAAATTTAGATTTTGTTTTGTTTTTTAAATAGGGTCTCACTGTGTAGCACTGACTGATCTGGAATACCAGGCTAGACCAGGCTAGCCTCTAACTCAGAGATCTGCCTGACCTTGCCTCCCAAGTGCTAGGATGAGGATGTGCGCCACACCCAGCTAGAAAATTTTAATGCTAGCATTACTTAATTAACACTTACCATTAAAACCTTGGTGTGTATGGTCTGTGGTCTGCTTCAGTCCTCACAAGACCTGTCAGCCTGGCCTGCTGTCTGAATTTACAGCGAGCTGACTGGAGCCCAAAGAGGGTGTCCCTTACCCCAAGTTCTCCTACACCTTCCCTTCGCTTGATACTGGTGTTAGAGGTTCCTGGATAGAAGCGAGAAGCAGGAAGTGTTGATCTGTTTGGAAAGACCAAGCCTTCAGAGGAGCCATGGAGACCTACCTGAGATAGCACATGATGTCCTGCTTCTGGAAACGTCCTGAAAGAACACACTTTCTGGGTTGTGATCAGTAGCGAACTCTACTAGTGGGCAGCCCAAGACCCAGGCCCTGTGCCTGACCTACGTATCTGTTGTATCATAAATTTGATTATCATAAATCCTTAAGGATGTACCTAGAGGGGATACCTGGCCCCAAGATGCAGAGAGCTACGAACGAGAGAAGAACGCATGGACAATGACCATTTAATTATGACCATTTAACATCAAATAGCATCTGGTTGTCAGCATTTATATTTCATGGCTGAAATTTGATCTCTGTTATCCCAGGTCCCTCTCAGATGGTAGGTTGTATTCATGAACATTCTCTGGAGAAATAGAACTGTTGGGGTGGCTGTGGCATATATATGTGTATGTCTGTATGTGTGACCAGTGTATAGGTGTGCATTTATAGATAGATACACGCACCATATATGCATACACATGAAGTCTATTAAGTGGTATGGGCACGTGTGACTTTGAGAAGCTCTTCAGTTTGTCATCATCTAGTGGGGAACTCGGAAGATCTATGGTACACTTCTGTCTGAGAACTGAGGCCAGAGAACCAAGGGGACCAGTGAGATGCATCTCAGAGGCCAGAGAACCAGACGGTGTAGCACTATTAATAAAACCCAGAGACAGATATTGGGGTTCAACCCAGAAAAGATCAGAAAAGCAAAACAGTCAGACACTGACTCCTACCTCTACCTCAGTCCAAAATGACGATCCTGCCTCCAGGAATCTCGGAGTGAGACTGACTGAGAGCTGTCTCCTCCCATCTTATATTCATCTCTAGTGCTGGGATTAAAGCCGTGCACCACTACCGCCCTGTTTCTACGGCAACTAGTATGACTACTGGGATTAATGGTGTGTGTCACCACTGCCTGGTCTGTAAGGCTGACCAGTGTGGCTCTTTTACTCTCTAATCTTTAGGCAAGCTTCATTTATTAAAAATACAAATGAAATATCACTACAAGGGAGACCAGTGACATCTTAGTCAGGAGAAGATTGATGTTCTACCTCCAACAGGCAGGCAAAGAGGAAATCCAAGCTCTTTCCTCATTCTGTGCTATGATTGAATGATGGCTACCCATTTTACAGGCATCTGCTTTACTGAGCCCATCAATTCAAATACTAATCTCCCAGAGCACCTCACAGACATGCCTAGAGATGATATTTAGCCCAATATCTGGGTAGCCCATAGACATTGATACCTATAATTAACCATCTCAGAGATGTTCCCAAATGGCTGTTGGGTTGACGTGAGGGTCAACTAGAGCATGGATGAGGGATAAACAGAGAATGGACATCGAAAAAGGTCATGGCTGTCACAGAACACCTGCGTTCTCCTGAGTGCTCTTTCTCATCGACAGAGATTGGTCGCCATGAACATGCCTCTCAACAGTGATGGGACGGTCATGTTCAATGCAACCCTGTTTGCTTTGGTCCGGACGGCTCTAAAGATCAAGACTGAAGGTAAGTGCTCCCTAGAAACAGGATACAGGACAGGTAGCAGGAGAGGGAGATGTTACTCCCCCCCTCTCTCGTTATCTCTCTCTCACACACACACACTTTTTGATTTTCTCTTCTGGGCTTCCTCTTAATGAATGGGATGCCTCAGGAAAGGGCCATGAATACAGGAAGAATATCTCTGGCCAGCTGACTCTCCCAGCCCTTCTGTTTTTTCTTCATACTTTCTTTGTTCCATAATATCTCAAGTTGGCTCGCCACACTGTTTATTATACTGCAGGAGAAACAGGCAAGGTTTTGGTGCATAGACAGAAGCCACAGATGGTTTACTGCAGCTGTCCTTCACCAACACCATCAGCAAGGCAGCCCACCCTTCCGAGCAGTAACTTCTTTGTCCACAAAAAGGAACCACATGCAAAGATATCGGGGCAAGTTCTAAGCAGGTGGGGTGGATGGTGCAGACAATACTGTGTACATGCACACACATACACACACACACACACACCACACACACACAGACCATATGCACCACAGGGTTAGTGTGTGGGACGTGCTAGCAGCTCCAAATCCCACCTGGACTTCTTATCATGCTACACTCAGCCCTGCGCAAACCTGTGCCTCTGGGTTAGCTGAGAGCCTGCCTTTTAGGTGGCATGGGAAGCAGCTTGCTGCACAGGCTGGGGAGCGAGCCTGAACTGAGGAAGTAGAGGCAAGAAGGGAGCTGAGAGAAGACAGTATCTAGTCAGAGGATAGGTGTTCTTCACAGCCCTCTGGCTCTACCTGACAAAGCCAACTTCCTTAGGCCTAACATGTGCCTCTTAGGTTACACACACACATATCATTAATGGTTCCAGAAGGTAGGATGGTCCGTGTTGACGTATTGGTAGGTAAGACATACAGGGAGAAGTCAGGTTATGAGGTGAGGGTGAGTGCCTACAGAGTCTGCAAGAACACTGTCATGATTGGGGTACAATAGAGGAGGAAAGGGGAAGGAGAAAGAGAACGAGAAGGAAAAGGGGGAGGAGGGAGATGGAGAGGAACCGGAGGAGAAGGCGAGTTAGAGAAGAAAGGAGAGGGGGAGAGAGGAGGGCAGGGGATACGGGGACAAGGAGGAGGAGGGGAGGAGATAGAGGAGGATAAAGAAGAGGGGGAGGCAGTAACAGAGGCAGTTGGTCTGGGATTCAAGGGGGGAGCACAGGTTCTATCTGGGGCAGGGCACTGTGGCAGAAGAGGATAGTTCTTGGATCCCAGGTGAAACATGACTGTCCCGCGGTGGTGGGTCTTCCAGTTGCATGGGCTTGGCAAGTATTTCTGCATATAGGAAGAAAATTTGGCACTCAGAGTGAAGACCCCAAGGGGAAAGCTCTATCCGTAAGGCAATCCAAGAACCCAACAGCATAGCCAGGGGCAGGAGAGAGCTCTGGGCCACAGAAGCAAGGCTTGTCCATGCCACCTCCACATACCCCTCTTTGCCTTTTGGATTCAGGGAACTTGGAGCAAGCTAATGAAGAACTCCGAGCTGTGATAAAGAAAATCTGGAAGAAGACAAGCATGAAGCTACTTGACCAAGTTGTCCCGCCAGCTGGGGGTCAGTGTGATCTACTTCCTAAGGAGTTCTTGATCAAGGAGTTAGTGTCAGTGTAGCACCTGCAGCCTGCCCAGGGGGGATTGCGGAATGCCTCACCAAACCATAGAGTGGGAGCCGCACAGCCAAAGGAGTCTTTGGCTTCACCGAAAGTATTTGAGGTGATAGGAAGGCAGCCAAGCCAAAGAGCGACTTTACTGGGGAGGAGTCAGACCCCATGTGTCTAAGCAGGGTAGAAAAATCAGTAGAAGAGATTGACAGCGCTCACAAAATTCAAAGCTTGTAACTTTTGCCCCCAAAGAAATGCCTAAATCTAGTTCTCACCTTTAAATGTCTTGAGAAAAATGGGTAGTTTTTAGGAAAGAGTACTTCTAAAATAATTTTAAGGCTGGACTTACCACCATAGTTACCAAGAATGTCCTTTAATGAGAATCTAGAGGTAGAACTAACAAGCATGCTTATTTATTTCATTTTGTTATTTATCACAAATTAACTGACTAAACATTTAAACTTTACATATATATAATATCTATATATTATATATATAGTGTTTCTCTATTTTTTGTTTAAGTACATGTGGACGTAGAAGTGAGATGGTTATTTTCCGACCGTTTTGTTTCAAGTTTTAAAAGTGCAGAATCTGCTCACCCAGTGCCCCTGCTCCCCAGCCGTCCAGCTCACCCTGGCCTGGATAAACATCTGCTATCTTTTATAACAAAATGAGTTTTAATAGGATGACGTGGTTCAGGTCTGGAAGCCAAATCCTGTTCCTCTTGGAGGACAGAGGGAGCCATGTATTATCAGCCAGTTCTGCTTCTTAGTGGGATTAGCTTTCATTGGTGATTCAGGCCACCCATAGCTGGCCTAGTCACTGGCTCACCTCTGGGAAAACAACTCAGAAAGAAATGACCAAAGTTGGGGGGGGGGGAATTCCCACTTGAAGACCCCCAGCTCCCCAGACCTGATTCTGCACTTTTAAAACTCCTCTTGGTTTCCTTTTTTTTTTCCTTTCAGCTGCACATCCAAGTGGTCGCATGGCTTAGATGAACCGCTCTTTAAACTGTTGTAACCACTACGCTTGCGCTCTCTCTGCAGCCTCCATTCCTTTCAACTCTCAGAATATTCTGAAGCAATTCTGTTTTAGGGTGGTGGCATGGAATCAGAGTTATCTCTTGCCAACTGGATTCCCCTACATTGTTTCTTGAAATACAGATGCATGCTTCAGAATAGTGGGCTGTGCCTGTCTGTGTAAACCTTCTGCACACTAACCCGAGACACTCACCTCTCTCCTGGTCCAACTCTGTCTCTTTGGAAACACCACCTCCATAGTGGCCCATCTAATGCCCTCAGGAATAGCCCCCTCACACAAGGTGCGCTTGAAGAGTGTCCCCTGCGTCACTCGGATGCTCTGTTTCTTTTTTATCTTACTAGGAAAACCAGTTCAGAATTTGGCTTATGATCTAAACTCCCTTCCTTTGAAAACTGATCAACATTTATCTCTACTAAACTTCTCAGAAAGGATGAATGCATCCCCCATTTCTGGGGCCTGGTAGTTCTCTGTGTTTCTTTACATGGTTTGGGGTTTAGGATGATAGATGTCAATCTGTTCCCCGATAGCAACTAGAGGCATTAGGATACCTGAGAAGAAAGAATTAGAGTCTTAGGAAGAGGTAGAATGCTCCGCAAGATTCTGTAGTGTCTAGTCCTGTGCCCAGTATAGCATCTGCTTGTCCATTTATATCTCATTTAAGGACATTTGCCACCAAAGGAGAACAGACAGCAGTGGCATTCAGGCTTAGTAGCTAGCTCTGGGTTGGGTTTTAGTGTCTCTATTCATCATTGGTCTTTTTCATTTTTTTTCCCTCTTATCTCCCAGTAGACAGGTAGTTCTCAACTTTTCCTCATCATGGCACACTTAAAACATGACACCATGGTCCGTCCCTTGTGACAGACAGACGGTGGTTCCTGGTGTTAGTGTCTCCCGCAGTGTGATGTGGTTAGGGAGAGCAGACTGAGTGGTAGGCCTGTGCCCTGAGGGTGCTCAGGTGACCTCAGAGCTGGTGATGTTTGTCTAGGCAGCTCTGCCGCTGGGATGTGCTCCGAGCTGTCGCAGCTCACTGTGAGCTTAGTGGACAGGTGATGTCAGGAACCAGCTGTGGAGGACATCCTGGGATCACCTGCTTCTCTGCTCTGTGCCCCGCAGCCTCGCCACTCCTGCCATGATGCGGAGATGTCTCAGACTGGGATCTTGCCTGGGTTCTCAGTGCCTTTTTGTCTCTGCTCGTTCATGGATTCCCTTTCCCTTTAGAAGCTCCTCTCTCTCAGAGATGCTCCTGCCTTTGGGTTCTCACCCTCGGGCGGTCTGCCTGGTTCTGGGTCTGCTCTGTGTTCTACTGAGCCCAGTTGGCATTTCTTCTCTCCATTCCTCCCTTGTCCTGCTCAAGCCTTAGCTTTTCTTGATCTTTGGAGATCTTGTTCATCCAGGTCTCTCAGCACTGCTTTTCCTCAGGGAAGATAACCAGGTCATGCTTGAATCCTGCTCTGCCACTCCAGAGCTGAAGAGAAAGCCAGAACTTCTTCTACCAGAAACATTCTGGTATAGATGAGTACAGTGATCCTCTCCATTGAGTCAGGGAGTTTTCTAAGGCTCATGGGGCCTTGAAATACAAAAGACATCTGCTTGTTGAAGGTCATGGAGATTTGGGGCTCTGGGGCTATGCTGTCCCAGCAGCCATGGTCTACCAGGAAAGCCTTAGGAAGAACTTGAGAGGCAGCTCAAAGGAAAGCAGGTGTTGGACATGGCTAGAGCCAGGCTCTTAGTGGGGAGCTAGGGCTGGAGGAGGAGAGGGCCCTGGGCTCAGGTCCAGGCCAGTTGACCTGGTCCAGTCATGTAACCTCTCGCTTTCTTAGAGTAAGCAGAACTGTATGTAGAGTTTGTGTGAGGAACATGAACTGGGTTTGGACACAGCCCCTCCCCCCCATACCCAGACATGGTGCCTTGCTGGATGAGGTAGATGAACTGGCCAGGTCAGGGCCAGTCAGAGCCAGTCAGGGCCAGTCAGAGCCAGTCAGAGCCAGTCAGAGAGCCCTCAGTTTTCTTCAGCAGCCCTTCCACCATAGCAGGGCTTTCTTGGCCCAAGCCAAGGAAATTCCTCAGGAGAAATTTAACATTTATCATGTCCAACCCACCCCAAGAGAGCCTGTAAGATAATGCTGAACACCTTCTAGCAAAAGGGACTGGAGAAGCTGCCCAGAGTGGCCCAGCAGTCTCTGGGTGCTACCACGCAAGCGGGCACTAAATAAAACCCACCAAAGTTGTATCCGTGGATTTAGTGGGTCCCAGCAGCCCCAAATCGCCTATGGGCTAGCATCCATTTCAGTAAGTGATCATGTTGCCTTGCTTTGAAACAGTCGTGACCGACGGCTTGTGACTGAAGGGCACTTGACTCAAGGACAGCCTACACCAGGGTTCGAGTGCCTTGTACACCTTCTCTTCCACGTCCTCAGTTCTTCTGAGATGGAGCTCCATTTTGTAGGGGAGAATATAATCTTAGACAGGTTGATCCTCATGACTCCATCCGCATGATTCTTGCGAGGCCAGCTTTACCAGAAGCCCAAGCACCCACAGCTGTTCCTCTTCCCATGCTCTTTAGGTCCTATCAGTCAACATACAACCCCCAACACAGCCCCACACAAGCTCGGCTGCTAAAGTAGCCTTGCCAGTTTCTACCCAGAAGTCCTCAGTACCCTACAGATGTGGTGGCATCACCCTTGGGGGCAGGGCACGGGACACACTGACAATGTCCCCTATGGTTTACCATGAGACAGTCGGAGCCCCTATTCTGCCTCATGCATCACCTTCAAAGTTGCCAGCAGAGTTCTGATTCCCGAGCGATACATGCTGGAGGTTGTTTCTGACCCAGAGCAGAAATAAAGCCTGCTCAGTGCTGAGGTTAGTTGGAGCTGTCATTGCAATGCAGAAATCCAGTAGTTGTGAATTTCAAACCAAGAAATGGTCTCTGAGCTTATTGGTAAAGAGCAGGGGAGCGCGTGAGGTCTGGAGCTGCAGCCTCTGTTCCAACCTAACTCTCCTTCCAAGCTCTTGTCACCTTCCTAGGCCTCCATCTTGTGACATGGGGATTTGGATGTTTAATTGCATTCAGTGCTTATGGTAATTACACATGCAAATCTCTATGCACAGGGCGGGAAATGTGGCCTGCAAGGCCTTTCTGTTTCGTAATGTTTATTTTAAGTAAATAACCAAGGTGGCGCTTCATACTGTTACTAATACGCTACTCTCTTAAACTCGTGATAAATATGCATTACCTTCTGCCACTCTGAGGATCAGATTGTTTTAACTGACTCTAACTTTGAGCCTTAACTGCTTTGCAAAGCTTTGCTTCTTGCTAGACTAAGCAGCCCCTGTGATAGACTGAGAGCCCCGGTGCCTTTTGTGCACTCTCCTGCCCCACCCTGCCCCGACCAGAAGTGAGGGTTTAGGCTCTTGGTCCAAATGTGCTGATTCGGGAGAGCTGTGTCTGGTCTCTCCGTTTAGATGATGAGGTAACCGTGGGGAAGTTCTATGCCACTTTCCTGATACAGGACTACTTTAGGAAATTCAAGAAACGGAAAGAACAAGGCCTGGTGGGGAAGTACCCCGCGAAGAACACCACGATTGCCCTGCAGGTGAATTGTCCTCTTGTTCTGTTCTTGTCACTAACGGTGTTGCCAGCTTTAATTTGAGACACTAGACAGCTGACTATTGATGGTTGAGCAGTGCCAGAGGATTTTGTTTAAACTGAGATACCGCACACTCCCCCCACTGTGGACTAGCCCTTCCTGAGCTGCAAGGTAAGTCCTTCCTCCCTTTCTTGTCTTCTCCGTTGAACCTGGCACCTGCCACCATCCAGTCTGTGCAAGGCCCCCAGGACAGCCATGATGGGAAAGGAGTGAATGCTCACCTCATGCCCTGGCCTCCTGGGTCTTCTCCAAAGGCAGCGTCCCCTAGGCAGGCTCCTCTTCCCCTAGTCCTGGGCTCAGGGACTGGCTGCCCAGAGAAGAGCTTTCCATCTGAACGCAAGTGCTTTGTTTTGGTTTTGCTTTGTTTCTTACCCCACGGCTTGTTGGTTTTTTGGTCCATTTCAATAGCATCCATCACTCCCTAGTATGTACTGTGTGTGTGTGTGTGTGTGTGTGTGTGTGTGTGTGTGTGTGTGTGTGGCGTGTCTGTGTCTGTCTGTGTGCTGTCTCCCAATGGCAGTGAGGCTTGCTGTACAAGTACTATACACAGGCCAACCTCTGGCCCATCCCCCTTCCTCTAGGACCTGCCCCTTCGCGCACACACACCACACACACACGCACGCATGCACACACTCACACGCACACATGCACGCATGCACACACTCACACACACATGCACGCACGCACACACACACACACACGCACACACACATGCACGCATGCACACACTCACACACACACACACATGTAGGCACCTATGCGTGCATGTACGCAGTTATCCCTTCCAGGCCCCTAGAGTGTGGGTGTGACATTTAGGAATATCTGGTCCAATCAGGACTCAGGCATCCAAAGGCGATAGAATCCTAAAGATGTCCAGAGCTGAGGGTGGGCAGGCTTGGAGAGGCAAGGAGTCATGCTAGGATTTCCAGGCGGGGAGCAAGTAAGGTAGTTCAGGGGCTGGTGGTGTGTAAAGAGAACTGGGGACAGCTGCTAAGAGGCAGAGCAAAGGGATATGTGGAGAGCAGCAAGCTGTCCTGAAGTCCAGCTGTCCATGCTACCCGGAGTGCCTTCAGTCCATCACAAACAAAGATGTTTTCCTTGCTTCTCCAAAAGTTGACATGAAAGTTACTCTTACGTCCCTGTTCTCACAGTTCTTAATTGTGGCCTTGTGAGTGTTGACATAAGATAACATGGAACAGTCCTGCACTTTGTTCCCCAGAGCAAATATGCAGCATCGTTGTGTGTCTCGAGGGGTAACTGGCAGCTAAGGCCTGAGTGTGATCTCGCTGGGAGAAAGAGTATGAGGAAGGATGAAGGATGATGGTGGTTGAGGGATGTGGGGTGTGTGCATCACAGGTTAGCAGATGTCCTGGGGACAGTGGCCAGATGAGTCGTGGGGAAATCCTAGGGGTTGAACAAACATCTCGCTGGTGGGGCAGGTGGTCACCCACATCTGTTTGAGTCAGTCTGGGTTCTTTTGTACCCAATAGCTGAGTGAATTATAGGCTCAGCTATCTGGTTTGCTGCCATCTCAGGTCATAGGCTTTGATATAAGCTCTCACCTCCCTCCTGCTGCTCCGGTTTGCAGACGTGACTGTTGTGACTCTAACCCATAAGCAGCCTCTCGTGGCAAAAACTGAAAAGCTTGCGAATTTGAGTTGGTCCCTGGTTTGTATGTTCCTGGTGGCGGCAGGACTAGGTTGGCCACCAGCGTAGAGCGTTAGCGCATGCCGAAGGCTGTCCCCTCACGTGATCTTCAGCCCTGTAGGAGAGACTGACTGAATTTCCGAGTTTGGTGGATACACCCTGCCTACCCAGAATGCCTTGCTGCACTAAAACTCTAGTCTACTCTAGAATTGATCTCTCCGCTGCAGCTTATGCCACAGTTTGTGGAGTGAGATTGTGTCTGAGTTAAGAGACTCTCGGGTTCCAGGGAAGGGTCTATATGGAAACACTCCGAAGTGTGTGTATGGGGCGCGGGTTAAGAGCTTTTCTGAAGCCCTAAGGCTTGCTCTGGTGGCTGGATGGGTGTTTTGGTATCTGAAATAGCGCAAACAGCACATGGCTTAAATAGTCACCACATACGGAGTTTACTGAGCCTTGAGGGAAGGCTCAGGTGGTACAACAGGATGCCATGAAGGTTCTGGGTGGAGACAACCACATTATGTTAAAATAATGTTGAGACTTTTCTCCCTTTTTATTATTTAAAGAAAGTTTTATTTCATTGGTAAAAGTCAAATATTTCGAGTTAGAGGATACAAATTCGTTTTTCCGTGGTTCTATCGAGAACTGAGGCTAGGGCTGTAATTTATATTAAGCATAGAGCATAGAAAATTAAGTTGTGTTCGTAATCTTGACAGTTAAATTCTGAAAAGGCATTTGATTCTGAAACAAGCATTAAAAATAGAAAATGTTTGTCTCCTTGATGGATAATTCTAATTACATTTTTGGCTTCCTCTGCTATAGAAATGGCTTTAAATTTGAGTTGTTATTCTACATTTAATTAGTGCGAAAGGAGGCCTCCATTTCCGCATTATGAAATCTCATGGGTGATGGAGCAGGTAGGGAACTGGGCTCGGTCCTGGGAGGAAGGCACCCTTGAGACAGCTGCCGAGGGGCTTTGGCTGACTGAGAAAGGAACAACATGATTTTGGCAACAGGGTACCTCAGGCGTGGCTCCCGGGCTGCTTGTAGTGGGAAGTGGAGTGTGGCATTACTGTGTGAGCAGCCTAGCTTGTGCGTGCTGGCCTGCAGAGTGAGGTCTGTCTGAAGAGCTCTCAGAACTGGCACTCAGGCTCCACACCCCCATTCCATGTCATGGCTCTCAAGGGCACACAGACACACTGTGGTCTGAACCCTGTGGGCTCCATCCTGGTCTCCTTGTGTTCAGACCAAGTGTTGTTAACCTTCCCTTTCCTGTGGTGGGTCATGGCTGAAGGTGCTCCTGCCTCTGCATCAGGAGGAGCTGGGCACCTGTGTCCTCTGGCCTCTGTGGTCTGAGTGAGTGCGCACTTTCCACCCATCCACTCCATCCATCCCTTCATCCCCATCATTCAGTCTCTCGCCCTCTATGCTAGGAGCCAGAGAGAAGCTGCACACAGCCGTTCTGTTCTAGCCCGCTCATCGCAAAACATGTTCCCTTTAATTTGACTCAGCATTTGCTCTTCATCCATGTTGCTGCATCCGAGTGACCTGCAAGTTTTCACAGTGAACAAAGGAATAAAGGAACATAGCCACGCAGCCCCAGAAATCCTCGGTCCCCTTTCCTGCAGTCCCATTGCACCCCCCAGATGCGGGCCTCTGGGATGCCTCGTGCTCCAAAAGATCCCAAAGTGGGGAAAGTTTTGTTCATTTCTCTTTGATTGGACATTCAAGTCTTTTGTCTTGACTTGACATGGAGTCTGGGGACAGTGTCCTCCATGTGAGAAACCACCCAGATGAACCACAGGGAACCCCAGGCAGCTAGTCCTCTGACTGTTTAGAAGTTGGATTTAAGGAGCCCATTCTATAGCTCTGCAGGATTAGGTGTTTAGGTTGAGTGGCTTTAACATCTATGCCTTGGCCACAGACGGGGTGGTTGGGAGATGCAGGCGGTATTGAAACTAGCTATTGGTCTTCAGTGTTCCTTCCTGTGGCCTTCTCAGGCACGGTGCACAAAGACAGCTTAGTTCCTCCCAGAGATCTGACCTACGTGTGGTCCTTTTAATCTTGTCACCTTAATCTGGAAGGCAGTGAGATTCTTTTTTTTTTTTAAGAACGATGATTCCACCGGAAGCCATAGCGTTGTTCTTTTATATATCTATATATGTTTTCCTTTTTTAATGTAAGAGGAGAACAGATGCTAACAGATGGGATTTCACTGGCTGATTCGTTTGTTTCAGATGCTTGAACGGATGCTTTAGAGTTCTCTGCCTGAGCTACCGCACCAAGCTGGTTAGTCCGAAGGCGCTTGTGGCTAAGGCCTTGAAAGGGCAAGCTCACACTCGGGCTTATTTCTACTGACGCAGCATTTCAGGAGAAATGCAGGCAAGAGCAATCCCAAAGCCCCGGGGAGACCCCTTCCGAGCAAGGCACTCCTCTGGAAGGCAGAAGCGGGGCCGTGGCTCACCCATGGAGCCATGGCTGCCTGTTGCGGACACTGCTCATGGTGGCTCCTTTTCATGAAAGGGAAATGTATGAGTTACGGTTTTTCCCTTCCAAACCAGAGACTCAGTGAAAGGGGTAGAGAAAGAGAAAGAGAGAGAGAGAGAGAGAGCGCAAAGGAGAAGGGCAGCTGCCCTATAGAGAAATGAAATGAACACAATTTGCTGATGCTGGCCAGTAAATAAATAAATAAATACAATTAAATGATATATATATATTAGATATATATATATATATTAAAAAGGATTAAGCAGACCTGCCTAAGGTGGGCAGCTGACTCCATCTCAAAGTCCTGCATCCTTAGTTTTTGCCCAGACTCCCAAAGACTGGCAGGCTGATTGGCACTGAGCAGAGAGTTCTGTTTTTATGCCAGTATGTCATGCCCTCCTGACTGGGTGCCTGGCCCTGCTTGCTGCAGTGACCCAGTCCAGAAGGCACTAATAAGTGGAAGGCCAGGAAGCTCAGACACACCCACTGAAACTAACACATACACCCGCATGCCAAAACCAACCAGGCAGACCTCAGGTTCCATCTTACCGTGTCTATGGGAAATGCCACCACACTCAAACCTCATCTAACATTGTCTGTCTCTAACTCACGCTCAGAGCCAGTCTGGGATGCCTCTTTGGAAGCAGTATGGCCTAGTTTCAAGGACACTGGGAGTCAGGGAACCTGGGTTCTAGTCCCAGCTCCAGCATTCACTTGCTGTGTGACCTTGGGCAAGACACTTAACCTCTCTGTGCCTCAGTTTCCCCATCTGTAAAATGGGGGTAACAATGTCGACCTACCTCACAGGGCTGTTG